GGCTGCCATTGTTGAGATGGCAAAGCCAGCACGCTGGCTACCATCATAGTTCAAGTGGGTAAGCCAGCACGCTGGCTGCCATTGCCCGTTCACGTCACATGTTTCACATGTTCATGCCGTGTGGACATCTAGCTGAAGCCACTAAGCTACTAGCTACTAGCAGGAAACCTACGTAACACTTCACACCGCACACTTACCGGATAATTCGCACTCTGACTTCCTACATGATGAAAAATGCATTCGGGCCACTCGTCGTCTAGTTTTTAAACTCTCTTGTGTGGGTGCATTTCCACCTCATTCGGATTCGGATCCCTATGGCCAAGATAGGCTTGTGAGCCGCTCCACGGGATTTTGCACCACGAGCTCTGTTTCTCGCTGTCACCAGCCCCTCTCCGACGCACAAACTCGGTTCGGTCCACTGGTCCGTGAACTCGTGAACTCGCGAGACCCCAAAGCATTCTTGTGTTGGTAGGGGCCTTGTATCTCGCCGTCCTTGGGAAGATTTTGATGTTGGGAATATGCATTTCGCAAGGCATGTCTTGACACATCTGGCCCTGCTCGCGTTCTGGAACCTGTAATTCCACTGAGAAGAACCAAAGTCCAGCACACGCCTGGTACGCAGTGCGCAGTCTTACGCCTTGGCCTTCACTTCCGGTCTTAAGCCGTGCTGCGTGTTGAGTCGGCCGACAATTCGTCGAGAGGGGGTCTGAAAAGTCGTGTCCCAGGATGCAGCACACAGTGCGCAGCAACATGACAATGATTGAGGCCTGAATGACCAAAGTGATTTTGAGGGTTAGTAAGGCTAGGAGCCCCTAGTAGCTTCTTGTCGCTAAATAGATATCTAACATTTTTTAGTTTTGTTACTATTATTTGAACGTGCCCTTCTGTAATTGATGTCCGTGAGGAGTACGTGGTAGAGAAGGCAGAGGTCCGTCGACGAAGAAATGGCGAAAAGAAATTTGCCGCTTGGCCATTTGCTGGAAAAACATTTTTGCCCTTGTTTTGAGTTTCACGTTGGCTGCCTGCTTGCGAGGTTTTTCCATACGACCTGGGGAAGAAAGGCAACAGCGCTGCAGTGCTCCCACCAGCATGTGTGTCGAAGCACGGTATGACAAGCCTACAGAAATCACGTCTTCTTTACGCATGGCATGTTGCTGTGTCATTTTGTTTGCCTTTGAACCCTGGATGGTGTTTGTATGTGCTTGCTGTCGCCACGGGATGGTGTCATTCACATGTCCATTGTCCTCGTTTTTAAAAGCGTCCTTGCCCAACCAGTGGTCTAAATCAGTTCCGAATGACACCAGTGGTCAGCCGATTCTTTCTTGAAGAACGCCTGTTTGAGTTTTCAGCTGTGAGAATGGAGGTGTAGCTTCCGGCTTGTCATAGTGTTTCGCACCAGAACTCTCTCCTCACGTCGTGCAGCTATCCACCATAGTAGCAATGGCCTCCAACCTAGTAGCGATGGCCTCCACCTAAGCAGACTCTCTAGAAGAAAGGCAGTTCATTTTTGGAATCTTCAATTTCTGAAAACGGACCAGCAGACCTCTAAAGCTGACAATCACACAGATTGCCTGTTCTTTGCCGGGAGTGTGGCGTTGGGTATGAGCTGTATGGACGTGGTTTCTTTCTCAGCTCTTCCCAGCGACTTTCTGTCGACACGCCCTTAAGTTGCAATTGAACATATTTTTTGTTCAGAGGGGTGATGAGAAGGAAATGTGAAAGAAGTGCTTTGTGCCACCCCTCTGGAAGGCCAGCCCCTTGTACCGGTCCTAACGATACTCATGTAGGAGAGGACTGGAAGCCTCACCAATGCCTTGAAGTCTCGCAAATGGTTGCCATATACTATAAGTGCCAAATATATGACATGAACAATATATATATATCTTTGTCATGTATTGCTCACTTGCCTGGAGTTTTAGCTTGCACCAGTTGGTTCTCAAATTTCCCACTGTTTGACCTCTTCGTTGAGGTGCTCGGCTCCTCTTCCTTCTCTTGGCTGCTACCTGGAGGCCCAGTGACCTCCAGTGTAGCGTCCTTGCTCCTAGTAGCGATGCCTTTTGCTCCTAGTAGCGAACATTGCTCCTAGTAGTAAGGCCAGGAGCCCCTAGTAGCTTCTTGTTCCTAGTAGTAAGGCCAGGAGCTTCTAGTAGCGTCCTGTGCATCGAACGTCCGGCAGGAGCTACGCCAGGAGAGATGCTGTTCAGCGTAGCAGGGGCTGCTTTCGTAGCTGTGAGAAGCTGTAACATGCAACAAGCAGCAACGTATAGCCGTATAGCGATATATGACTGTACATAATGCAATAAGTTGTTAGTAGTTTTACACAGTTTCAGTGATTCAGAGATTCAGTTGGCCAGAAGGGTCCAGTTTTAGGTGGGTGGTGTGGCGGCACCTCCGAGCTTCGCAGTTCTCGATGAGTTACATGATCGCAGATCGTCGTTACCAAAGGAAGCTCCGAAACCTAGGAGTTGTCAAAGCCAGTCCAGAGTCTATTTGAGGGAGGTTCTTGTGCTTGAGCGCAATGAAAGAGCACTTCCATGACGAGCTCCGAAGCGCTCCAAGACAGACCGGTTTGACTCGGTTTGACTCGGTTTGACTCTAGGGTCAGGATACCAGTGGCTGTAGTGTTTGGATGTTCAGGCGGGGTCGGGGTGCATTGGCAGGACCACCTGTGTGGCCCAATGTGCGCGCAGGCGGGCGCAAGAGCGACGCAAAAGCATCGAAGTGCAAAGGAGACCCCCAGTTTCTAGAGCGAACCTAGTAGCGATGGCCTCCACCCTGGGAATTGCGCCAGCACAGACAAAAGAAAGACACGTGAGGCAATTGATGCATTCCTCTTGGGGCTATGCCAGATTCTTCGCCTCTCACCCCACACAAGTGGCCTTTCCAAATGATCCCAACAGGGCCGTCGGATCGTTGGCTGAACCAGGGGGGAGGCGAATAGCAGGGCGGGTGCTTGCTGGGGGTCTTGGAAGCTGACCCCCTTAGGCAGCCATCCTACCAAACCACATCAAGCAAAACCCTTTGTATGTACAGAAGAAACGAGTTGGACGTCCTCGGTCCTCGTTGACGCTCTACAAACGTAAGGAAAAGAATATGAATATGTCAACATATACCGGGCAGAATGCCCACGCTAACTGCCCATGCATTTGTTAAGAGTTGCTGAAGGCATCGGCAGGAGGTTCATGACGAGAACAAAGGATACACAACAAGAATCACCACACGTCGCATCATAACCCATCACAACATGCGGACTGGTTGTTCAAAGCACTAGTCACAAGATGTCACAAGGACGCTATTAGGTGGAAGCCATCGCAAGTAGGTTGGAAGCCATCGCTACTAGTAACAGGAACGCTACTAGTTGCAATGTGTCCCAAATCACTTTTTGAGATTCGTTAAACACCGCGTAATCTCTTCTTGCGCAAGGCTGTCGTAGACGTCCGTGTATGCCAAGTGTTCTTTGCCGCCTTAGCTGCGCAACGTTTCCCTTGCGCGCAGATACTGTGCACAACATATATGCTGCATAGTATATATGTTGCCTTATTCTCATGCTGTGTCAAAGTGATCAACTTTGTTCAAGTTGCCCCATGACACTGACAATGACAAATGCGATGCTTTGTGTTGGTGCGCATATTGCGCGAGAGGTTCCAGCCACTTTGACATAAGTATGGAGCAGATCGCCCAAAAGACCGAGAAGTTGCAAAGGACCATAGACACTACTAGGAGCAAGGACGCTACTAGGAGCAAAGGGCATTGCTACTAGGAGCACGGACGCTACTAGGAGCAAACATGTTTTCATTTATCAGCTTACCATTCTCAGTCTTTCAATGGTGAATGGCGACCAGGAGTGTGGTCATGCCTGTGCGGCAGGCCTTCTCAGGAGAAGGCAAGATTTTGTGGGCGGACTTTCTGGTAGGTTGGAAGCCATCGCCCTTAGGGTGGAGGCCATCGCTAGTAGATTGGAGGCCATTGCTTGGATTTTTTGGCCGTTTTTAGGATTTTTCGTTCGCAGGGTGGTGTTGCTGCACATACTGGCCCGAGCCTTGGGGCCTGGCTTAGCTGCAGCTTGCACACACACATGGCTACCATAATGTGGTGCGTTTGACCAGGTGTTGGGTGGGGTTCCAATTTGGCTGTGCAGTATGTGATTGCGAGGCTTGGCGTTGGAATTTGGAGGGTTCAAGCTTCGGGATGTGATTCTTCAGGCGTGTGGAGAGGCAAGGCTCACAGTGGCAGTTGGCCAAGCTGTGCTGGTCTCGAAATCAGAGGGCAGCTGGGCACATGGTTCCAGTCTTAGTGCCACACAAAGAACGTGTTGCAACGCTGAACATGTTGTTCATGTTGTTGTCGTCGTGGTGGTTTTTGTTGTTGGGGGAAGGGGTGACCTCCGTTGAAGCACAGCAGGCAGACACATGGTGATCGTTGAAGATTGGAGAACGGCGTAGACAAAAGTATGTCCTTAAGGCTCCTTGAAGCTGGGTGTGGCAGATGCTTGCAGAACTTCCGTCTTCTTCCGGTGCACTGTACAGCCCAACAAGGTTTCTAAGGCAAAGTACTGACATTTGAGGTTCTTCTTGAGAAAATCGCTTAGAACTTTAGTCACGCTAAGAAGGGGATGGAAAGAGTTTCATTTTCATCATACTAAACTATTTTGAAGGTGATGGGCTTCACGTAAGCCGTAAGCCTTTTCATTACTATTCGTACATGTGTGTTAGTCACCCAAGCCTTTATGAATACGCGCAGCGCACATCGATGCACACATTTTTGCCCTCTCTGCCCATGCCATCGGCCAAGCAGCCTGTGCAGAAGGCGATCACCCTTTCATTTGTGTCCCTTCACTAGTCACGAGCCCCAAACCGGCCAAATCTCCACCAAAGCACCAGCCACACAGCTGTCGTCGTTCGAAGTCACCGATATTGTTTCTGGTCACTGGCGACTTTCGGCGCTGTGAGTCTTCATGTGAGATGCAAGGTTGGGCTACCATTTGGCAAGCTGTTTCGTGCCTAGCTACTTAGTGGCTAACACAATGCTATCAAAGAACATTTGGTTTAGAAACTTCAGAGTTGGTATGCAGGAGTTTAGTGTTCACCAGAATGAGACAAACAAATTGCGCAGGTGCTTTGGTAATTGTAGAATTCCCTTGTATAGGTTGCACGCAGGTGCAGGGTGTAATGCTCGGCAGGCCGAGCCACTGTGTGGTGCTGGGGGAAGGGAAGCGCAGATTTTTCCGCGTGTTACTACTAGTAAGGCACCTGTTACTACTAGCGTGGCACTTGTAACTACTAGCGTGGCACTTGTTACTACTAGTAAGGCACCTGTTTGCACATTGAGTGTTTGGAACGGCTTTCGCTTTCGGATTCCAGAAGGTTCGAGACGGGTGCGGAAAGTGTTTGGAGCAATGAGCGTGTTTGGATCCTGACAGACACCTCATGCGGGATTTGCCTGGTAGTGGCTCTGGAGTTCCGCAAAGGTGCTTCAGTTGGTCCAAAATCTTTGTGGAGTCATGGCAGGTGTGATTGTGTTTGAAGAACCGGTGCTATATAAAAATCTACGCTCAAGATGTTTGGACTTGAACTTTGGTCATTGATGCTGCTTGGAGATTTGGAACGTCAGTTGAGGTCGCCTGAGCAATGGTTCTGGAGACAGCTTCGGGAACCAAACCTTGTTCGAAGCTGGTTTCGGTTCACTTGACTTATGTCCTGGGTGTTTTGACCAGAGCAAGGCCAGGAGGCTGGTTGCCCCGGCACTGCCTCAACGAGCGCGGTGTCCAACCGTACCAGGCCATGCCAGTTTCTTTCCACAATTTTTGAATGTTTTTTTGGTACAAATTCCAGGGCAAGGTGTTTGGTAGATGCAGCATGATGCAGCTAGTGGCATTTTCACAAATTTGTGCACATTCAGCATGCAAACTCTTGTGGGAGCTGAATTGAACATCGCAACTTATCATTTTCAAAGAGCGTGTTTTACTTAATTCTTGAATTCAACCATTTGCCCAAACTTGTGCCTAAGAAAGCTCATGGGGTTTGGTGGCTGGATTGGCATTCCAAGATGCTCCAACTCAGATTCTTGAAGGAGTACAATCAAGTCATTAAGCCTTCAAGAACTGTGTGGTCCACTCCAACCACTGGGTACGACATTTCTTTTCAGTAGGGAGCTGTAGTCTCAGCTGAATTTCAGGCTGTCAACCTTTACCGGCATCGTCGTTAATTATGTGGAAGCCAATTGACACTGATGGTGCTTATTTTGCATCAATTGGGCCAATTGACCCTTACTTGCAGTAATGCTGAAGTTGGATGGGATTGACATGAGGGGTGTCACAGGTGTCAAGGGGGTGTTCGAATCCAGTTCGGAAAGAATTGGTGCAAAAACCAAGTTACATTAACAAACTGCTAGAGGGATGAACATCAATCATCAATCTACATGAATGGGGTTCTTGACTGGTCGCAAAAGAGGATGAATAATGCATCGGCTTTGCTTCATTCTTGCTCAATGCACCTAAAGTCTAGGCTTGTTTCAAAAACAGCTCCGCTCAACATCACAACGTGGGGGTCATTTGTCGTCGTTTTCAGCGTTTTCCGTTTCGCCAGATACCTTTCCAGAAGGAACTTCAAGGGCGCTGGGAGGCAAACAGTGCTGCAACAGTGATATGGTTCCAACAGTTCCTCTAGGGACGCTACTAGGGGCTCCTGGCATCGCTACTAGGAGCAAGGATGCTACTAGGGGCTCCTGGCCTTGCTACTAGGAACAAGAAGCTACTAGTAACAAGGGCATTACTACTAGTAGCTAGAAGCTACTAGTAGCAAGGGCATTACTACTAATGGCTAGAAGCTACTAGTAGCAAGGGCATCACTGCAAACGCTGCGATTTTGCCGCCTTTTGGGATCAGGCTGACACGACGATTGTGGTCCGGGCCACAGAAAGCCTGAAGGAAGTGCTCGAAGTGTGTGCGTTGGGTTTCCTGCCGTGCTGAAACTTTTTGTTGGCCTGCGGTCCACATACATTCATTTCACTCTGTCAGATTCGGTGGGTGCCTCCGCTTTTGTGAAATGAATGGCTTACCACATGTCCACAGATTTGTTCCATAAGAGGCTGAAAAGTCAAAAGGAAAAAGACAAGCTGCATGATATGTGTTCTTATCAACGGTCTGGTAGGCTAGGGACAAGGAGGTCAATCGGAAGTTCTCTTCACACATTTTTTCGATTGTTCTGGATTTAGTTCATTTGAGCTTGGGTCAAATAGCATTGATCAATGCCATTTTGGCTCAAGGCCTGAGCTCTGATTTGTTTTCTTGGACCCACACTCTTTGGGAAGGGCGTGGGTGGTCTTCGTGGCCATGTCGAGGCGCTCGCACGGCGGTTCAGGAGGAGGTTGGGCTTCCAGCTTTCCTACCTTTCGTGTCTCCCTTCTCAAGTTTTGTTCTGCGCTTTGGATTTTTTTGCAAAATTGCACCAGATGGGCGGCCCTTGTCTGGCCAAAGTCCTTGGCCCGATGGACTACGCACAGCGCTGGGAAGCGCTCCTCCACATAGCCAAGGGCGTGCCTGAAGGTCCTCGCGCGGCAGCTGGCGCTGCTTGGCGGAGACAACTTGGGAGACCAGGGCGGGACTCATCTCGTCGCAGCACAGTGGAGAGAAGTGTGCAAACATGGGGAAGCAAGTTTCGTGACAGGATGCACCTGTTGGAAGGCCAGCCGGATGCCTGGATCTGCTGTCGAAGCAGTCCGAGAAACAGTTGAGGAAGACTTGCGAAATATCATGCAACTAGGAAGCGCAGGAAAGAGAAAGAGGTGCTTCTACAGGGCATCCACTGTCTTTATCTTTCCGTTTCTTTCCTCTTTTTCTTCTTTTGGACGGCTTAACATGTGGAGTTGTCCGGCCTGTGATGGTGTTGTTGCCAAGGCGAGATCACCAGGAAGGGATCGCTGCCTGCGCGCAACAGGCGCGGGACAAGTGCGTGGGATTGCTTTTGACTGGAACGGCTGCGCGCAAGTTATCAGCCGTGGCGTTTGCTGTGAGCCTTGAGGCAGTCTGTCTCTGGACGAGGGCATTGCTACCTATGACTGGCCAAAGATGGGCGGCCCTTGTCTGGCCAAATTCCTTGGCCCGATGGACTACGCCGAGCGCTGGGAAGCGCTCCTCCACGTAGCCAAGAGCCTGGAGGCAGGTGCCATGAAACATCCATCAAGAAAAGAAGAAAGCACGGCAGGCAGTGCACTACGCTGGCGTCGTCCACTTGACATGCCCCTGGGCTCCTTTCATTTCAGCGCTGCTCAAGAGCAACGGAGTAGAATATAGAATCTACCTAGAGCAGGGAAAGATGGTTCAAGCTGTGGTTGCAGGGTATTTCAAATCATTTCGTTTTTCCCAGTTGCTTGTGGATTCCACGAGGTCTGCGCAATAATTGACTCGGGCAAGGCTGAGCGTTGGTTCCCCGGTTCCAAGTGCAATCTACAATGTACAAATGACAAAATAGCTAGAAATATTGAAATACAATCCACGACTGGAAAATGCAAATTGACAAGTTGTACTTAGAAAACGCTTTTGATTTTTGTATTTTTCAGCTATGCAAAACTCAACAGCATGCGAAACTGCAAGCAATATTGAAGGAAATTGCCACTTGATACGGGTTGATGTGGGTGGGATAGGAAGCTGGCTCCCCTAGAGCAGCCTCTCATGGTTGTGGGGTAGCCTGACCACGTTTCACTGGTTGTCAAAAGAATTCGCCGGTGGGTTTTGCTGGTTTGCAGTTCGAGGCTGTAAAACTTGTATAAATACGAACAAATTGCATTTTTTCGTATATTTTCACAAATAGAAAACTACGACAGAAATGCAGCTGCCAAAAAAGTACCAAAAACATGTTCAAAAATACAACCAGCGAAAAACATACAAAACAAATACAAACACAACAAAACAAACACATACAAAAATTGATCCACGAAACATATATCAAAAAACAAACATTCAACAAATTGCGACCCTGAAATATAACTTTTTGCATAGTTCTACGTCCTAGCTGGCCCTGTTTCCCAAACGACACACTCAAATGAGGGCCACAATGCAATAGTGCCCGCCAAGGTAATTGAATTTTGAGTCACGTTGTCCTTTCTATGTGTTTTCCAAAAGCTTTTCGCGACATTGCTGTCTTTTTGTATTGTTGCAAAATAAGAGAAAAGGCAATCGGTCCGAAAAGTCAGCAAGCACCCTCGTCGATGCGTCAGCAAAACGAAAAATTTGCCAAATTTGGTTGCCCGTTTTTGCACAAACTTTGCATGCTTTTGTATTGTTTACGCTAAAGTGTGTATTTTCTTGTGTTTCTTAGCCTCTACCTGAAAGCCAGGGCTCAAGATCAAAAGTGAAGGCAGTCGCACATGACCATTTAAGCAAAGGTGGCAGCTCAGCGTGACCATGGGAGGTTACAATTCTTGTAACCTCCAATTGTCACGTTGAGAAAGCATTTTGTTACGGTGCTCCCCTCGCTCGGAGTGGCGGATCTGCAGGAGAGCCTCTATCCAGAGACTATGTGAGACTTGGTGATAGCCAGTGATCGGCTATTTTCATTGTTTCAGCGTCGCGGTCCATTCAGACTGCCTTTTGTTGCTGATATCATGGCGCTGTGGATCACAGCCTTTTGCTTTCTGTTACAAAGGGCTGTTTGATTAAGTGGTCGGGGGCCTTTCGCTCGCCCACTCGATGTGGTCTTTTTGCTTCATGTTTTGATTTCATGTCCTAGACCCTGCTCAGGGTCTAGGTTTGAATTTTTAGACTTACAGATCTTTTCTTCCATTCACCCACGTCGCATGAAAGAGAGAAAGGGGAGCGTTCGCCCGTCACTTCCGTGCTGTGGTCGAATGTCGGGTGAGCTTTGTTCAAAGCTCAAAGCTCACGTGTGAATCTGATTGAAGTGTGGTATAAACGAAGGACTTTTGGCAAATAGACTGGTTGCATCCAGTTACCTGTGAACCAAATCCTTGAAACACATTTGGAACATTGATGACGTCAAGCGGTGTGTGCCAAGCGCACAGCTGTGAGTTAGTGTGTGTGAGGTCAAAGGGCTGTTGGTGCACACAACAGCTTCAAGTTTGCCTTTCGTGCCGCCCAGCAGAAGTACTGTGCAAGGTATTTGCAAACCTGAGTCTTTTGAGCTGTGACTATTTTCTTTTGTTCTTGTTGACGGGTCATTCCTGTCTCTCTCTCTCTCTCTCTCCCTGTTTATCTTTCCACAAAGTTTCAGTGCTGTTCTTTTTTCTTTCAGTTCTTGTCGCGCCGCTGCCAAGGCTGAGAGAAGAAGATGGCAAAGTGCGCTTGCTCGGGCGTCACACTCAGTGGGCCGGGCTGCAATTCCAATGGGGTTGATGCTTCTCATTACTTTTCTAAGTAGATGCACCAAGTGAAGGATGTGAAACGCTTACAACTTCTTAGGTTCACAATGAAACGAATGAAATTAGTTGCCGAGGTTTTCATTGGAGTCCTGTGATGGCAAGGTGGCACGCTGGTCCAATGGACAAGAGTGGAACAAACAGGAGTGCACCATTTGAGGCAGATTCATGGAAATATGTCCGGCATGACATTTGTTGATGTTGGCACTTGCTTCAGCATGCAGTTGATGCAAGGGAGGCATTCCTTGCCCAAGCATGGCTGCCGCAATTTGTTGCTCCGGCGTGGACACCATTCAAAGCCCCTAAGTTTGCGTTGCGTTGTTGCATTTTGTTGTGCCACGCTAACCTCGTTTGTGTTGCCCTAATAGTGCGCAGGTTCCTGGTGACCTGCCCAAACATTTGCCCGTTTGATGGGCACAGCACCGTTTTACACCCCACCTAAACAGATCACTCATGCTACTCATGCTTATTGGCCGCACGCCGATCGCTTGTACCTGTCGACGACTGCACACCTGCAGGAAGAAACATTCAACTGCCTGTGGGTTTGACGCAGTGTTGTGCTCGTACGGGTTACGGTGGAGATTCAATTGAGAGAGGCCTCCACTATTCGGCCAGGTCACCGGGAACGCAGCTGGCAAATCAAAGCGGCGTCTCCTGCTTCTGCTTAGTTGGCTTAGTTGAGCTCATGCAATGTAGCGATGGCCTCCACCCTAGTAGCGATGGCCTCCAACCTAGAAAGGCAACGAGTCCATGTGTGGCCAATTCTGGGAAAGAGGCGGTTGTGTATTGTCAATTGTCAACGTATGTTTGCTTTTTTGTTGGCATTGACTGGCGCCTTTCTTCCGACTTTTCCTTTTGTCGATGCACCGGTGTGGAAATCTGTGCAGAGCACGAAGCAGCAAGTCTTACAAGTCGGGGCGTTTTTCAGTGCCCAGCTGGCGTTGACCCGTGTCGTTGCGTTTCTTTCTTGTCCATGTCGTTGACCGTGAACACTTGGTCCTGGTGGGTCCTACCCACTATCCGTTCATCTCGATGCTGGGATTCGCCACCCTGAGTTGCATTCTATATCATCGTGCCTCCAAAAAAGCCCGCGGACCTTGTCCCGAGATCGTCCTCCACATTCCATTGTTGCAAAGGAAACAGCATGAAACAGCTAAACGCGACAATTAACACACCTTTCCATATACCAATACATACCGCAACTCCTTGTGATTTGGAAGTTCCCCAGCTTAAATTCCTTCCATGAGAGGGCCCCCCGTGCAGGCATAAGCAAACAAGCAACCAGCACCGTACATGATTAGCTGATTGGCAGCCCAAGAATGTCAAAGCGGCCAGGAAGCTGCTTTCTAACAAATCAAACAGGACTTGCGCAAGAGTCTGTAGTAGGGTCCTTGCTCCTGGTAGCGATGCCAGGATCCCCTAGTAGCTTGCTCCTAGTAGTAAGGCCAAGAGCCCCTAGTAGCTTCTTGCTCCTAGTAGTAAATTTGCAGTCAGCCTGAGCACAGATAATGTATAAAGTGCAGGAGGGGGATGAAGTTCGTGGTGGCGAGTGGCACCCGGAGGACATGTGGACACATTCAATGTCATGAGTCATGAAATTCACACGGGTGACGGGGGTTGCAAAGTCGACATGAAGCGGAGACACCGAAAGTGAGTAAGACAGTCAGACACTGCGCTATTAGGTTGGAGGCCATCACTCTTAGGTTGGAGGCCATCGCTGTTAGAAACAAAGAAGAGTACGAATTCTCAGAAGTCTTGACCCTGCGCTTGGAGCTCGTCAGGACGAGGACTTGCCCGACCTTGCAGCCTTGGAGCCACGCGAGGACCTACGAGTTGGGCCCGTCAAGTCGGAAGATGAGTTATTGGACACCAATTTCAAAGCGCCTTCTTCGCCTTTGCTGCCTGTTCATGAAAATTTTCTTCTGTTCATGGTAATTTTTTATATTTGTTGGATCATTTCTGCATTTCTTCATTCCAAAATTTTCATTCCTTCGCTCACATGCATAAGCCTCCCAGCCTCATTGTGACTGGACATGAAGAGCCTACGCCAGCTTCTGATAATTTCACTCAAGAGCACAAGGGGTACAATTTGCAGCATCGTCCTCTGAACCATTCGATGGAGAACATTGCCGGTCAGGGTAGCATGGACATAGGGAAGGCCAACAAGCGGAGCCTTGTTGATCTCCGCTCGTTTTTGCATTTGGTGCATGGAGGCATGGAGACCGTCCATCGGTATAGCTTTCTCGTTCACCAGACTTGCAGAGCCCTTCGCACCCTCAACTCTGCTCTACAGCGCGGGACGGGAGTATGTCTTGCACAACTGACCTTGATCTGCCAATGGCTCTTGGAGGGCAAAACACGAGCGCCGAGAAGCGGCGCTGCTGATTTTTTGACACTCCAATAGATGCAAAGCTAAACTGGCAGCCATGGGATTCGAGCCGTGAAAAGCAATGGTCTCGCTTGAGGGTCGACAGATTTTGGCCCATGGTCTCCTACACGCGGACGCGCGACAGGGCCATCACAGGGCTTCTGCTGGGGTGACCAAACCTATAGTCTTTCCTTTCATTGGTGACAGAAAGCTCCTAGTAGTAGCGTCCTTGCTCCTAGTAGTAAGACCAGGAGCCCCTAGTAAGCATCCTTGCTCCTAGTAGCGATGCCCTGTGCTCCGAACGTAGCGTCCCTATTACTATAAAGCGGGAATGTGTTCCGCTGTCTTCAACAAAAGGCCTTGTGTCGTCACCTCAGCTCCACCGCACCACCAATAAGCTTCACAGATGTGCACAGACCAAACAGTGTATATTGTCGCCTGGTCAATGAGGCAATTCCCGCCCAGTCCTGACTTACCTGCTGGTTTCATTGTTCTGAGGGCTACGCAGTGGCTGTTTCAGGTATTGGTCCCTCCTTCCCTTCCATCCCTCCTCCTTCTTCGCTGTTCGTTTTTGAGTTGCTTGCTCTTAACGCTTGTGGGTGTTTAGTTGGTCTGGTTTCTTTTGCATGGCCCTGGCAAGTGCATGTATTATGTATATATATATATATACCAGGGGTTGTTATGCCCCCTAGTGTCAGTACGGCATGCACACATCGAGATTTGATTTAGGCCCTCCGCTTGCGTAGGTTGGCAGTGGTTAGTGATGTTAGTGGTGGTCTTACTTGCAATGTTTAGGTCACTGCACGAGATGTTTGTATTTGGTCCTTTCTCGGTTCTTTGTTTTTTCAGGCCACTTGTTTTTTGCACTTAATTCATTCAATTTACCTGCATTTTGAGTGGTTTTACTTTTGCCGTGGCTCATTTGTCTATACACCCTACCAGGCAGTTGCAAAGTCCAACACCCTGCCAGGATGTCAAAAAAGACGCCTAGATTCAATGTGGAACAGTGAGGATGGTCCAACCACAATGGCCAAATCCCAGTCACAAAGATTGGCAGGGAAAAAGGTGCCAAGATGGTGGGGACAGCGCAACCTGCGCAAAATGATGTGCGGACGACACAGTTGTTTGGACATGATTCTCGCAGGTGGTTGACCATTGTGATTTGGCTGCCGGTGCTCAAGCAGAAGTGTTCATATAATTCGGGACACAGTGGAATGCATTTTATATAGTTATTTTTTTGCAGGTTGGACGTCTCATTTGAGAGTGCTAGGCCTCACAAAGAAGAAACATGAAGTACAAGTGTTCACATATACTGTACAACAATCATGCTTTTGGATGTTCAGCCGAGACATGTGTGAGGAAACTCGGAGGTCGTGACCTGAGTGATCCACACATTTTTTTGCTTTTTGCTTTGCCTGTTTTACCACAAAAGAGTCACAAGAGTGTCAAAAGAGTCACAAGTGTTACCTGAATGTTGGCACGTGCAGACGTCGCATGTCACAAGGAAAGCCTTGCCCTCCCCGAAGCCTGTGGCTCCTAGCAGCGACAGTCCAAACCGAAAACCACGGGCTTCCTGTGGTTCCGAGCAGGTACATCCCGGAAGCCTTTGGAAGCCGGTACAGCCCGCATGGAGGAGAAGACATGGCCACTGTGGAAACTGGTGTTGATTGCCCTTCCTCAAGTCAGTGTGCAGGTCTTATGGTGTTTCATTGGCCCCAACAGTGCTTCGTACATGCGACATTTGGGAGTCACTGATTCCCTGGCGACCTTGAACAACATCGCTGGGCCCATCACCGGTTTCTTCACAGGTCCCCTTGTTGGAGCCACGTCCGACAACCTCACGTCTCGCTTTGGACGGAGACGACCTGTGATCCTGGCAGGTTTGATCTCGGTGTGCATTGCTGGAACTCTCTTCTCAACCAGTGAATACTTCATGCCAGAGGGGAAGGCGGCCTACTTTGCGGCGCCCATGTATTGGGTCTTGGATGTGACGATCAACATCTTGCAGACCCCACACAGAGCGCTGGTGGCAGACTTGGCCACCGAGGAGCAGCAGATTCCCATGCAAGTGGCGTTTGTGGTTTTGATGTCCATTGGGAACTTCATGGCCTTTTCCATCATGAAGATCTACAAGTCTCCGGTGGACCACATGTTTGAGCTCATGTTTGGCATTTGTCTCTTCAATGTGTTTTGTGTCGGAATCCAATTCCTGGTCGCAAGGGAGAAGCAATTGAAGCGAGATCCAGATGCACCCAAGCAGTCTGCATGCGCGCCCGTGTTCACCGTGGTGGAAGCAGTGGCGGGCAGTCCGCGGCTGCTCTATCACTTGGCTGCCGTGCAGTGTTTGGTGTGGATCGGAAACACCGCTTGGAACCTTTATGCTGGCCAATGGTTCGGCAATGCCGTTTTCCAGGGTGATGAGAAAGCAGAAGAGGGATCTCCCTTGAAGGTTGCTTATGAAGATGGCATCAGTGCCTTCACGGTGGGAGGTCAGGGAAAGGCTCTTTTGCAATTGATTTCGGCATTGATGATCATTGGTATCCTTTTGAAGACCACCATCCGCCCTCGCTTGGTCTATGCTCCTTGTATTTTCATCGGGCTGATCGTCAGCATTCTGGCCGCGTTCTTCGTGGGACACTCCGGCAGTTTTGCGATTGCAGTGATGATCTTTTCAGTGATGCCGGAAACAGGTTCCTTCGCAATTCCATTTGGTTTGGTTGCTACACTGAACAAACGTGCAGAAGAGGAAGGAAAACCCGTGAGCACAGCTCTGCAAATGGCTTTGCTAAATTGCTGCGTTACCATTGGCCAGCAGATTTGCACTATGTCCTTGGCAGGAATTGAAGCGAGCATGGCTTTAGCGGCAGCTCTGCCGTGTGTCTTCATCGTGGCGGCTGTTGCGCAAGGCTTGGGAGGAATTGGAGCTCTGTTTCTGGATGATAGACCCGCTGGCTATGATGAGTCATCGGAAGAAACCTCGGAGGAGAGTGGCTTTTCTGATTGACAGGTGGCTTGTCACGAGGGTGGGTGGGACTTTTCTGTCAAGCAATCGAACTGCATGAATCAGCCAAGTCATCTTCAACACAGAACGTAAAGGTCTATATATATATACGGTACATCTAAAGGAAGGAAAAACAGCAGCGATAATGACCGCTTTCGCCCCTGAACCTTTTGCTTTAGCTGCTAGCCTGTGCAGCTGCTTAAGCTACTAGTGGCATGCACATCTACGACAGCTTGCCTCTTCTGAGCACAGCCTACTCCCTAGTTCAAAAGGGTGGGCTCATCAAACTTTAGGAAACATACTTTGAGGAACCTACTGTAATGGCGATGGCCTCTAACCTACTCCGTCCTGAAAATAGATGGTTTTAAAAAAAAATTGCGCCATCTACGAGCGCCAGAGTACCACAGTAGAGTTGCGCCATCAGTAGGCATCCTGACAGTATAAAAAGGGCGAGATTTAGGCTTCAAAACCTCGTACTCGGAGACCCCTGACGGCACGCTCCATCTATATACTCCAGTTAGAAAGTAGAACTACAATAGCTGAATCTCTTGTGCAGAGAAAGAAAGAGAAAGAGAAAGAGAAAGGAAAAGCAGGAGAAATAGTAAAAAACAGAGTAGGATGGGCACCGATGGGCTTGAGTGGTGTTTGGACTGCTTTGGATGGCTTTGCACTGATGTGCATTGTGCCATCTATAGCGCGTTTTTTTCGCTCGTTTTTGCAAGCTCATTTTTTCTTGCGTTTGCATTTTTGCACCCCCCTCTCCCTATAAATGCGCCATCTACAGGTGCAAAATAGCGAGGAAAAATACATTGATGGCGCATCCGGGAACACTCCCGGGAACCCTGACTTGTGCCAGAAACTTTTGGGGCGGTGTACTAGGGATGGCCTCCAAACTCTTTTCCTTTTTCATCATGACTTTGAGGTCACCCGTTTTCCCCCTACCCATCTCAACAGGGTTTAATACCCCAACTGTTCAGAGCTACCCTGCCATTCAGACACAGGAAAGAGGAGGGTTGAAATGACGTGCATAAGTGCGGGAAAGCGAAGAAGAGGAGCCGGCTAAGAATACAACACACTAACCAAGAAGGGAAGGGGAATCTTTCAAGAAGGTGGAGCCTTTCTGTGTGGAAATCCATACGATCCAAATCGCCGAACACTTCACCGCACTTCACCTCAAAACACCTGTATCACGTCCAAGCGAGCAGAGTCGAGGGTTTTCATGGGCAATATTTGCAGCAAACGGATTGAATGTGTTCCAACCTGCTAGTGATGGCCTCCAACCTACTAGCAATGGCCTCCAACTGCGCTGGTGTTGTTGACCCTTGTTGCACCCAGGTCTTCTCCAAGATTTTGATGGCGCTTAGCGCCTTGCTGCATAGATTTCGGTTTATTCCAGTTTCACAGAGCCTCGTGGCAATGCAGAGACGCGTGTGCCGCGTGCCTCGAGATCCCGAAAATGAAGCAGAGCTTGATGTAGTAGTCGAAGGTTCCCTCACCGGCTTTAAAACATGCGAACGTACACATCGCAAGCGAAACGTTTTGTGTCATTTGCTTGAAATGGCTAGTGTTTCCTTAGTTGTCATTTGCATCCTTGTCATTGCGTCGGTCGAGGCTCAGCATGTATATATATATATATAGTATATCCTCAATTTGTGATTTCAATATAAGATGCGACTGTTTAGACTAGTCATCAGTCAGGTTCAGCCAAATCCCAGGTTATATAGTCACAACCAACTGATTGAGATGCTGCAACATGTTGCAAACCTGGCAAGTTTGCTTGAAAGTTAGCTGTAGAAGAAAGGGTATGAAACTAGTGGAGCTTAGGTACTCGCTTTGAATCTGGCAAATTTTGACAAAACATATTGATTTCCAAAAGCTTGTGCTTGGAAGTAAAAACCTTGCGCTTGGTGAAACTGGGCTGTCGGCAGAAACTCGGCAAATCTTGGTCAATGAAAGCGCCCAGACTCTTGGATTATTTTTGTAACCTTCTTAGGGCCTTTGCAACAGCTTGGGGGACGAATAAGCTCCAACAGAAGTGCTTTGCAACAGTGTTTGAAGCGCACATCGTGTTTGTATGGCAAAATGTGGTGCAATGGTGGCGTCGTTCATCAAAGAACCCGTAGTATTAGTATTGTAGTCTTTATGCAGGGGGGGACGTTTTTGTAGAACTCTATGTGTGAAGCTTTGCAAGACCCTGTGGGGCATCTCACAACACGTTGAACCTGATAAAACGGGTAAAACACCGATTGAGACATCATCTAGCTTTGTTGGTCAAATTTTGTCCACCCCTTGTGGAGCGTTGTGCACCTTTGCAAACACCTCGCGCAAATTTGTGAAACCCTACCTCTCATGAAACCGTCACAGTGTACATAGCGCTTTGCGGAAGCATATAAGCAAGGAACACTCGGCAAATCCTAGTAGAACTTGGCACCCTTGTTAGAACTGTACATACATGCGCGTGAGACTGGAGGAAAATTGTGTTAGAAGATCGGAACCACCTGTGTCCCAATGCTTTTATACCAAAGCCTTTGGTGTCTGAAAGAATTGCACCTATGAACAAACAGAAGCCGTGAATCAATATCGGCGTAGTGTGGTGTGGTGTGGCGTGGCGTGGTGTGGCACCAGCAAAAAGCAATATAGACAATATCGAACTATCAAGTCACCCGTGTTTAAGTGTAGTAGCGTAGGCCGTACTATGGCGGACTGTAATAACACCCGCCGATCAGCTTTGGTGGTGCTAGCATTGGCACAATCCAATGCTGAGGCCTGCTGAGGCCCCTCAAGCTGCCTGATGCCCCCACGAACTCCCAACGAACTCACCAAGGCAAAACATGCAACATCCAGTGGCCCTGAGAGTAGGCAAGCACAAAGAGTGTGTTCAACCACCTCTGGCCTCCGGCCAACAAGTTCTCCAAAAGCTGGTGAAAACACATGTTTTTGCCCACAGTCTCATTGCAAATGGAACACCAGGACAAACAACATAGAATATTTCGTGGGACACGGCGCACTGACGCCAAAAGATGCAAGGATCCGGCCAGATTTACTAAGGCCACAGCTGCCAAAACATGGGGGCAGCGGTGTCCAGCAGAAGCTTGCTATGTGGCCGTCAACATCAGGTGTTCTTCTCGACAAATCTTCTGCAATGTGGACGGACTTTTTGTGAGTGTGCTTCGTGACTGGTGTTTTGACGTGCTTTTGTGCGTCTAGAAACGAGGACGCTATTAGGGGCTCCTGGCATCGCTACTAGGAGCAAGGACGCTACTGGGGGCTCCTGGCCGTACTACTAGGAGCAAGAAGCTACTAGGAGATGATAGTCTTGTGCTTTCAGCTAGTGCTTTCGCCTGCAGCTACTGCAGCTCTGATCCTCGGCCGCCCCAGCCCACCGACGCCTGCTGCGAACTGCACTTTGCGTTGTTTGTTCTCCCTTGCAGCTCATGCACGGTCTTATCCATGTGATTTTCCGTGGTTTTGTCGTGGACAAGTTCGGCGAGAGCGCATGGAAAGAAATCTTGAAGCGGGCGGGACTCCTTGCTGCAGTGATGATAAGATATCACAAGTCATACAATCAAGGTATGCTGTATGCTTGCTTGCTTAGGATCTTAAACCTTTAGTAGCCTTGAGCTTCAACAATTTCTTGTTGCTTAGGTGTTGAGGACGAATCAACCATTTTGGAGATGAAGCACTACGATGATGGGCTTACGATGGCAGCTGTGAAGATCGGAGCTGAAGTGGCAGGCAGGGTAAGATAAACAATATACAGGGATCAACATTGCATGAGAAGCGTTAGGCATCACATGGAGCATAGGCAGGAATGAAGGCAGACGGAATCACTTCGAGCAACAGCAACCCAACACAAGAGCAAAGGGCTGTGGTCGTCACCACATGCTTATGTTTGTCATCCACGCAGCGAAGCGGTTCAACCGACAGCGGCTCAGTGATCGCATGTGGTCCGTTCACCGTGCGCCAGGGGCGCCTTTGGAAGCCGCCCTGGAACTTTTTGGAAGCTATTTCGTGGACTATGCAGCAGGAGCTGGCTTTATCAGATTGCTCCGTTCGTTGGGTTCGGGGGCTCAGCCGCATTCCAGTGCACTCCGTCGACAGCGGCATTGGTTCTTTCCAGCTGCAGGTTCAAACCTACACGAGTTTTTGGGCAACTTAAACATCCTACATCACAATGTCGAGAGGCGAATCTTCATGAATCACAGTGAACGAAAGTAGAACATAGTAGAACGATCGACGGATTTGGAAACTCGCCAGGGATCTCCCAGCAGCTGTGTTTCCTATCTTCGAGGTCGGGATAATTTTGGACAGGAGGGCATTTTCAATTCATTTTCTTCCACTCGGCATCAGATGTCAAGTGAAACTTCCCAATTGTCTCAGACTTGGAAGTCCGGTGCCATGCAGTTGTTCTTGTCCAGGTCGGCCAGATTGAGTGGATCAATGACTACAAATACACATTTAGGCCAGTCTGATGCTGTGGCACTTCTGGTGAAGCTGCACGTTTTCGTCTGGCACAGGATGGACTACGCAAGCAGCAGAGCCGGTCTTGGTCCACTTCTAAAGGGTTCCTCGACTGAACATTGTTCTGCCATCCAAGTTCGGACATAAAGGGTGGCTTCCCCTTTTTGGTCCGGTGTGCTCGTGACTCATATCACTTTCATTCTCATTTGGTCTTCATATTTAATTCATTTTAAGCTTATCCTGATCCGTTCTCGTCATAATCACACTTTCATCAATTGATTCTTGCTCACGCTGTCTATAGTGGCCGTGGCCGCTAATCACGCTTGTCGAACATTCACGTGGTATTGCCGCGGTTTTGTGATGCTCGGCAGCCCATTGGTGAGAGCAAGTGACGCTGCTTCGATGCACTTGCGATGACTCGTACTTCCATCTTTCAGATTGTTGCATGCGATGCCGTGGTGAGAGGTGGGAAGGGGGCTCCTGGCCTTACTACTAGGAGCAAGGACGCTACTAGGGGCTCCTGGCCGTACTACTAGGAGCAATGACGCCACTAGGGGCTCCTGGCATTACTACTAGGAGCAAGGACGCTACTAGGGGAAATGCGGGGATGGCGAAAACTGTTGCACTTGTGATGCCTTGACAGTCCTTGTTGTGCTCACGACTGCCAGTCGTTGAGCTTGCGATCACTTGACTCAATGGCCCTTGTATGGCATAGAGTTAACCAGGGGTACAATAATCAAGGATGCTATCCGCCTAAGGATGCAAAAACTTAGCGCTGTGCAATACCGGAGCGCACCGAGAAAATATGGGAACCAGACAACTCGAACAACTAGACATGGTGCCTTTTTTTGCTTTCAAGTTTTTGCAATTTTCACGGATCTTCTCAATTTTCGGATGTCTTAGGCCTATCTCGTGCGCGGAAGGGCCCCAAATTCCATGGCTGGATGACTAACACCATTTAGTACTAGAAGCGATGGCCTCCAACCTACTAGCGATGGCCTCGAAACTGCTGGCGATGGCCTCCAACCAAAAAAATCTCCAGTAGCTGGATCACTTTGCCGCTAAAGATTGAATTACCTGATAGCTGACCACTTGTGCATCACCTGCCATGTGAACATCGCAACAACACGACCTAATAGATAGATCCTCATATAGATCACACTCTTCAAAACGAGAGCACAAGAAGACAAGAAACCGGGAAAGTCGTTTTCACGGTTGTTGTGCTTTCGCGGATTTTTAGTGTATGTTTTTTTTTTGCGTTTTCAAGAAAACAAAAGACTCCAAATTTGACAATTTTCGCATTTTAATGTATTCTTAACGTTTTTGGAGAAATGCGGCCCAATCAAGATACCCATTCCGCATGCACAGTAATTTTCTCGACCCGGCCCTTTTTTAAGCCCCACAGCACGACCTTTATCCATATTTTCATGCTCATTTTGAATGCTTTGCTTAGAACGAGACCTCTATGCTGCATTTTTGCAGAAAGTTTACGTGGTCCAAGCGCTCTTGCCTGATGACACGACTTTGTGAGCAGCATGGAAGCTGAGAAAACTTTTTTGATTTGCAGCAACTTGCTGTAACAAAAACACCCGTGATTGCTGCATCCCATCACAACGCCTAGCATGACTACATGAATGGGATGTGCAGCAATCACGGCCTCAACACTGCCCACAAAGTCGTGGCCTTTTAATTGTTTCTAATAGCAAACATTGCTCCTAGTAGTAAGGCCAGGAGCCCCTAGTAGCATCCTTGCTCCTAGTAGCGATGCCCTTTGTTCCTAGTAGCTTCTCGTTTCTACCTCCCTCAGCATTCGTGCCAACGAAGCGCAATCCCTGCCCCCATTGAGGGACAAGGACTCCTTCCGAAAGCAAGCAGACGAGTTAACAAGTTGTCTCATAGGTTTGTTGTTCGGGACGTGGCTACTGGCAATTTGCACCAAAAGGCCTTGGATCTCCTTGCGCATTGCCTTGCGGTAATGCTTGGCCACTTTAAGAAGGGAAAGGCCACCCAAAAAAGGACACAAACAAATGTTGTGGCTGCAGCACGAAAATGTTTTGCCTCGTTTGTGAATGGAAGCCCGAAAACAAGTCGATCTAGTTCGAATGAGTTCATCGCACTCAGCAAAAGGTTTTGGAACACGGTGCAAGCCCACGAAGGCACATCAAACGGGGTTGTGTTATTTGGGCGAAGACTCGGAGATGGGCCGTGTAATTGGCAGTTGAGGCGCACTTCATCAAGCTGTGGGCAAGCTGTTCAACTCAACCTTGGAAATAAAACCTTTGGACGCAGGACCCTCAGAATTGCAGAATTGCCAGCTTTCGTGCGTGGGTTTTTGGCCTAGGCTGCAGCGATGAAATCTGCAAGTCACTTGACTTGACAACTACAGCCAGGTTGTCTCTGCACTTTCTTGACAGTGCTAACCTACACAGCCTTTTCAGCAAGGATAGAGAGTTGTAAAATGCCACTGGTCCCTTCTGAGACTGATCTACTAGGAACAAGTGCATCGCTACTAGGAACAAGTGCCTTACTAGTAGGAACAAGGACGCTACTAGTAGAAACTGTTTCTAATAGCTTCTTGTTACTACTAGTAAGGCACTTGTTCCTAGAAGCGATGCACTTGTTCCTTTTTCTCTCATGTTTTGAAATCACCTTCTTCTCAAGCCTTACTGCCGAATCTCTGAGGTTTTGCTCCATCTGCTGAAGCTGCAAACGAGCTCCATTGGAATTTGACGGTTACACTGCCCCAGGATCAGACTGAAATTAGCATTTATGGAGTGTAGAGTCTGTAGAGTCTAGTGTCATCAATCTGCAGAATGTTCAAGTCAGCGTGTGTGAATGAGAGGAGAAGACTGAGACGGACGCCACGCCAGTGGATACATCAGCAGCACAAAACGGAGCGCCAAGTGCTGCTCAATCCTCTTTCAGTTTCTTCGACTTTCACGCGGCCCTAGCTTCAGCTTGGTGTGGCGCCCAGCTTTGTGGAGCTTTACTTGAGAACTTGCCGATGGTCAAGCTAGACATGAGGAGACTGTCTCATGCCTCCAACCTAATAGCGATGGCTTCAGGTGCTGCTGCGCGCAGAGTCAGAAGGATGAGGTGATGGTGACAGTCAATTCCCAACCAGTTGCTGAAGACTGGGTAGACAATGTGAGGGCTGTGCTGGCAGAGAAGCGTGACAAGATCGATGCCATTACCAGCAAGCATCCCACGAGAATCGATGGCCAACACCTGTATTTCTCTCTTGATGCAGTAGACCGTGTCCGAGTTGGTGCCACACTCTTCAGGTCCAAGCTGGGATAGCTTCTTGTTCCTAGTGGTAAGGCCAGGAGCGCCCCTAGTAGCGTCCTTGCTCCTAGTAGCGATGCCAGGAGCCCCTAGTAGCCATGCCCTTGCTCCTAGTAATAAAGAAGCTACTAGGAGCATGTTGTTTTGGGATGTTCATTTGACATGTTTGCACTGCATTTGTTGCATCATGCCACACCACGTGTTGTCCTTTGCACAGCTTTCTCGCTGGATGCCAGGGCTTCATCTGCTGACCTGGTATCATCCCCATGGACCGATTTGGTGGAGCTTGACAAGACCGAGTTCTTTTGGGGTGCGTACACCAAGTTGGACAACTTCTATGCAATTTCTGAGCCGCTCAGTGAAGACAAGATACCCAGTGCACGAACATGTAAGGCTTCAGCTACCTGAGTCCTTCCTTTTTTTGGCACATTTTTTGTGTCCTCTAAGTAAGGGTTCTTGATGATGGCCATAGACATGCTCCCGCATACCTAGGGATTGGCTGGTGGAGAAGACAGTGAATGGCCAGACCAAATTTCAGAAGCGGGGCAAGATCCGCTTCTTATCGCAGTCATGGGGCATTCCAAAGGCTGGGAGCATGAAAAAACAGAGCATAGTGCATTACAGGCTTTTCCCTAGGAGATTTGGATCTCTGACCTTTGACAGGAATGGGATGACTTGATGGGAGCAGGCAGCTATGCTGAGGCAAAGGCAGCAGAAATTTGCTGCATAGCGAAGGATATTGCTGCTCGAGAGTTGGGCGACACCACCAGGCGCGGCCGGTGCCAAGTCTGTGAGGAACAAAGACATTAATGTATTGTTTATATGTAAGAAAACCTATGGCCTTCAACCTAATAGCGAAGGCCTCCAACCTAACAGCATGTCATCATAGGTCCCTTTTTTCCCGAATGAAGGGTTCTCATTTATCTCTGGAGCTCGGGAGGTGGAGGTTGGGGTGTGACGTTGCATTGATGTTTGCAACCGTTCGAGTGAGAATCATAAGGCCCCGCCGTTGGGGGGAAGCCATTGGAGAAGGTCTTGGATAGAAGCATGAAGTGTCAGATTGGCGTGACAATGCGCAGAAACGTAACATGTTCAATTGCGCGGGATGATTGTGCTTCGCAGGTGCAGCGTTTCGTGACATCAGCATTTTGAGAATGGCAAGGGGTAAGGGAGCTATTAGGTTGGAGGCCATTGCTTCTAGGTTGGAGGCCATCGCTATTGGGGGGGAGATAGGAGGTAAGAGAGCAAGTGGTTGGAGGGGCAGGTGCAGGAAGCTTAATGGTGCATAAGGGGCATGCGAGGAGTGCAAGGAGTGCATTAGCTGTTTTGGGCTACGTGAGTCATTGTCCGTTCTGGTGGCGCCCGAAGCACATTCATTTTCAGAACTACAGAAACTTCAATAGAATGAAAACAAGTCATTCCCTTTACAGGAGTGTCCTATAAGAGTGCCGAGCAAAAGTGTCGCACAAAAAAATTGTCCTACTAGACTGTCCTAGAGTGTCTCCCCAAAAGTGTCAAGAAGTACAGTAGGAGTGTCAGACATTGTTTGTGTTTTGATGGGTGTGTGCATTTGGGTTCTTGGGCTCCACCTTGTTTCATTTATATAACTCCCCTTGAGAGGGGCCTTATTAATCTCATCAGAGGGGGACCGTTGCTTTCCTGTTTAATCTGATTCTATGCTTCCAGAACCTTATGTACCAACTCGTTTCACCTTGCTGCTCAGGTGGAAGGAGGTTTATTTTTGGGTGGACAAGTGCTGCATCCCGCACCTTGCAATGCAAGAAATCCTTCAGAATCCTTTGGCACAATTGAAACCGACAACGGATGCTTTCGAATCCTCACTCACACAGGCAGGGCGACCAGGAACTCACCGGCTGGTGCGTGAACTTGCTCGAGGAGTACATCATTTTTTGTGATGGTCTTGTCGTGCTTGTGCCCTGGACCTATTTCACCAGGCCATTTCATGCAACAATATATATATATATAATATGATGCATCCATCGGTAGGCACATATAAATGTACAGTTGCCATCGTGCAGAATTTTTATGTTTGACGACGCTTTCTTTGGAGGCTCTGGTGTGTCTACGAGTGGGTTTGCTTCTTGCTTTGCCATGATCCCATGGACATCGAGATTTGCGCAGATCCCTTTGTGCGTGAAAGCACGTTGCCCTTGTTCATCGAAGCCATTGGAAACTTCAAGCTTGACTCCTGCCAGTGTTTCCGCGAGGCCAGTTGAGCTGCATCAAGTTCAGTTGGCTCATGTTTACTCTTCCCCCTCGCAGCTTCGTTGTGGCAAATCACTTCAATAAGCTGGATAAAGTACTTCTCGATTGTCTACCTTTGCAGATCACTGCAATCTAGAGCGGCATTGCCCCTCTGACAGGCAGACAGGCCCATTCTGTACAACAAAGTCGATGCCTGGCTTTGGACAGCAAGAGGTTTTTCAGCCAGCATGAACCCTTTGCGGAGTCAAGTGGCTCGAATTCCTGAGAGCAACCAAGGAACAATACTACAAATCTATCGCAGCTTGGAGCAGCCCGTGGGATTGTGAGGGAACAATAGGGAACATATGGAATACCATTGAGTGATTATTGAGAAAGCCAGGCGATAGGCTAGGCTGAAGTTATCTTTTAACATGTTTGGGTGCATGGGGTATATTGAGGTTGCCTGTCATAAATCGGCACATAGTGTGACATGATATTTTCTGTGGCAAGCATTCAAGAATTGTCAAGACAACCTCAGGCGCTTTTGAGAACTTCAGTTTTTTTCTCAAAAATGTCAGACATTCAGTTTTCAATTATCGTCACGACAGCTCACCCCAGGATGCCTTTGAGAAGTTCTTGAAGTTCACCGCCATTGCCTTGTTTGTGCGGTGCACCGCGCAGCGGCGTTCTGCTAAAGCAGTGTCTGCGTTGGAGCCGTGGCGATTCCTGGCGGAGAAACAAGGCGCGTGTGACATCCGACCGAAACGATGTGAGCAACACGAAGTGAGCAATGAGTCAATTCTCTCAATTCTCATTCCAGCTGGTGCGGACCGAACTCTTGCTAACTGGAGTGAAAACTAGTCACTAACAAAGAGTAAGGAGGACTCAGTGATGAGCAATGTTAAGATTGTGAAGTGACTAAAAATGTCACTTGGATCATTTTTTGCATGTACTATTATACTAGTATACTACACTATATCATATATATATATGTATTAATTTATAAATTCATGTCTGTTTGATGCCAGGGTTTCGCACCCTTGCTGACCGCATCATGGAGGTGATGCCGTGACCCCAGGGGCCCCAGCGCCCAGGGACGAGTCACCTCTTCCAGTTTTCAAACCTGACTGAAGTTCCAAACTGATTTTCAACCTCTTCCAGTTCTGAACTGGAGAGATTTGGATGCAAAATTCCATGCCCTTGGGGCCCTTGGGGGGCCCTTGGGGGGCCCTTGGGCCAGGGATTTGCTGCCACAGTGGCGCGACGGAGCAGTGAAGAGTGCCACCGGCGGTGGGACAAATGATGTGCAGACAGCAGTGCTGCACCAAGTGGAGGCAACTTGCCTATGGAGTTGGAAAGGTCAACGAACGGTAGCAGGGAAAAAACGAAACCAGTCGGCCGTGATTCAGTGAAGCTTTGGACGTTCAGGATTCATCACGATAGCTTGATTCGCGATCTGAGGAATGGTTCAGAGCCAGGATGGTTCCCATGATCGTGCAGATGAGAAAGGCTCCGGTGCAGATCGGTAGCCCAAGAGCCAAACAGTCTCCGCAAACCCGTCGGCGGAGGAAGCTGCAACTGAAAGCGGTCTCCAATACATTGAAGATCTTCGGACAGCGGCCAAAGAGGTGTTGGTCCAGGAGGTGGGGGAACTCTCGCACGTGGCCCGATCCACGGTTGGGCCGGTGGATCTGGTCCGATCTAATAGCAGTGGCCTCCAACATAGAAGCGATGGCCTCCACCCTACTAGCGATGGCCTCCAGCCTCGATGGAGACAACTGTTGTGACAACAGCGTTCATTTGTCCTCTCGCCACCGTCGGCGTGCTTTCAGCTTTTCCCTCCTTTGACAACAGGCGATCGTGATTGCACGGTATGTTTTCTTTGCTGCGCTGTCAAGCTTGTCGTTTGCTACTGCACAAGCTTTGAAACGAATCTATTGAAGAGTGAACCTGTCCAAGACCACCTACTTGCCTACCCCGCTTGTATGGTGTGCGCTGTCATGCCGGCATTCCCGCGTGTTTGAAAACCGCATCGTGCAGCAAAGACACGAAATTTGTTAGTGCACTCGCGGTGTTTTCACTGGGCAATATTCGGTTTCATCACCTGCTGGGGATTCTTGGGTTATCTTTTTTTTCACTTCTCGTTTTTGAGAGGGAGAAGTCTGTTGAATTTTGGTGAGGGGCGGTCGTGCTCAATTGAACAAACAGCATTACTAACTAGCGAGCAAAAGCACAGCCAAGTGCTTTCCTGCAGCTCACAGCATTCAATTCTGTTAACTGCTCATGTTGTAAACAAAGTTATGTTACCTGTTACAGGCAACTAAAGGGGCATCGATGAATGTCCTAGGGGTTTGGACCAAGTCACCGGGAGCGCCCTTTTTGACACCTGCTCTTGATGCTGTCCCATTTCTCACATGATCGATTTCTGGTTCGATTGGTTTGGTTTCCTGTTGGTAGTTCTAGAACATCCCACCAGTCCAGAGTAAGGTTTCATTGTGCTCGCTTCTTCTTGTTTCATTGATGTGGCCGGCATACCACGTCCAGCACTTGTCGGCCGTTTCTCTATTGATAGGTTCGTTTCGCGGTGACATGGGGTAACCATCGCATCACTGATTGGAGTTAGAGTCGTAGCGTGGTGGTCTTGTTTTCTAGTTGCAGCTTCCGTGCTTCAGTGGCTTTTTACAGGTGCACCGAAGTCAACCATGGAACACCTTGTGTTTTCTATGTCCAAGCGAGGCACAATTCACCTATTGGCATGTGTTATCGGAGAGATGGCAGTTTTGCGTGTTTTCCGTGCTTGGTTGATCTTGGTGCATCATGCTGGGATAGGCATCAAACATTGACAAACATCAAAAATATAATTGCTCCTGGCATCGCTACTAGGAGCAAGGACGCTACTAGGGGCTCCTGGCCTTACTACTAGTAGCAAGAAGCTACTAGTAGCTAGAAGCTGGCTCCCTTGGTCCGTTGGTCCCCTTAAATCTCCTGGTCCCTTGGTCGCTTGGCCCGCCGATCCTTGGTCCCCTGGTTGAATTTCCGACCACCTTAAACCCCCGTGTCGGGATGTCGGGAACCCCTGATTGCTGTATATAAACACCAGCAGTTCAGGATGTTTTTTTTTCTCACCCCATCATTGGGCCATACTTTTTTGGCTTCTTCAGTATCTGTTTGGGCAGCCTGGACCGTCGAGTCCTTTTTGGGTGCCGGTTGTATTGCGTTTACAACAGTTTTTTCAACGTAGAGTGCGTCCTGTTAGGATGAGCTTGATGACGAGCGTGTCAAGGAGCTGCGTGATTGTGACTGCACGATTGCGATGTTCTGGAAGATCCCGTTCCTTTGATAGTAACAAGAAGCTACTAGGGGCTCCTGGCATCGCTACTAGGAGCAAGGACGCTACGAACGGGGCTCCTGACATCCTACATCTGGTGTCCAAAGCTGCCAACTGCCAGGAAGCGCAGCTTTGAGGGCCTGAAACTCGCAAACAGGTGCACGTAGTGGGTGCGCACCACGCGTCGTATGCCGGGTAGGGTGCAATGTGCAGTTTCAAACAGTTCAGTGACTCCAGGAACCTGGCTGACGTTCTTTTCTCCTGTTGTGATGGAGTGAGTACTGTATATAGTCTATATAGTGCTCTTTTTCTCTCATTTGTCTGTGCAACAAGCTCAGCAGCATGTCAAAGACATGCATCGTTCCCACTGCATTCCCTTTGATTGGACAAATGTCCAGATTGCACATGGTCAAACATGGTCAAATTGCCTTGGTCACTTCGACATACTTCGACATCCCCAATACAATGGACTGTTTTTGTGTTGGAGCACGTAGCCTGTGCTGCAAGGGTCCAAGGATCTTGGCTTGGCTGTCAAATTTTCACAACTTTAGAGACATGTTTGCATACCAGACACCTTTCGGCGGAGGCCTGTCCCAAAAGTTGGTGTTGGTATGCTTTCTTGCTGGTGTGTGCTTGCAGTTCGGATGTCTTCAGGGTTTGCCTTTCCATTTGCTTTGTGAGGCTCTTTCTGACCCGACTGTGAGCATTGGACGGTTTCATTCCATGTATCAAATTGCGACTTTCTTTTGCTCCCTGCACGTGCGTCTTCTCCATTGTAAGATGTGCAATCTTTTTTGTTGTTGCAAACTTTGCACTTTGATATAAAGATACAAAGGCGGCACATTAAACTGGGAAAAGATGAGTTGAAGAGGCAACTTGCGACAAACGATCTGTGAGCGGCTGGTACAGGAGCCACAGAGCTGTTCAGCGCGGAGTTTCACCCAAACGTGGCAATAAACACGGAAGATGGAGTGGCAAAAACTCATGGAAGTGGTGATTGGTTTGATGGATGGCTTTGTGAACGCAAGCGCCGTTGTCGTTTTGACTTTTGCCAGTGTGAAATGACAAGAGGGAACATAGTTTTAAATTGAAAATAGGAAAATCTGGGACACACCAATGGATGAATTTAGAAACTCAGCTCATTTAACTTTTCTTGAACTCACTGAAAGCATCAACATGTTGTGATGTGGGTTCCAAAGCACTGCACCATTGCTGGCGCTCACGTTGTAGCCATGCTGTCCAGCATTCACCTACCGTTGTTGGGTGAAAGCTGTAGCCCTTGAACTTGTCAGCAGCCCATTCCGCATCCCTGACACAGCTCTGGTAGATGAAGGCTTGCTGGGAATTTTCGTTTTGCGCCATCGGCCTGGTTTTCGGGCACGCTTCATACCAACAGCCTTGAACACAAACGAGGACCATGTATGGAAATTTAACGCACGAAGTCACCCTGCCCCAAACTGCGCGAAAACAAGAGTACACAACCAAACCACCCAGACATCAGCAACAGATGCCGTGTCAGGAAATATATCGAACAAACCGCTGAGTCAAACAGACCTGTGGCTGTTTGCATACCGGAGGCGGGGTGTTAGATTCCAAAGCCCTCTCCAAAGCGCCCATGGAAGGTAAAAGGGGTCTCGAAAACCGGAGTCCATCATGCCCACCACAGAAGGCCCACCACCGCGTACAGACACTGACATTGAACGCTTGGTTCCGAACTGCAGACTGAACACCAGATTGCTTCAAGAAACAACGCCAGTTCAACAAACAATGCAACAAAGTCCTCCGGTTTTTTCTTTCGGAACTCGGCTTCAGCAGCAACAGCTTCAGGACAGGATCAGGACAACTTGGCACTGTCCTGTGGCAGAAAATTGTATGAAATATGTAGCTAAGAACTGTCAAACTATCAGAAGCAATGCATGCACTTTGTTTCCAAGCTCTTTGAAGCGTTTCAACCAGCTGTTAAAATAGTCAGGTGTTGACAGCCAACTCGATGCACGCAATCCAAACCTCGCAACCAAATGGTAGGTCCTTATAGTAGGCCCATGGACGGCTGGAAAACAAGGTTCTTTCGCGACTGAAGTAAACTCTGGAAAACACAACAAATTATATCAACGAAATGCACATTTCAACGATATGAAATCTGGGAGGCCCAGAGTTCTCACACATAGGGCTGGTGAACAACTCCTCATGCCACTCAGGTCGTTTGTCTGGAGCGTGACGAGATTCTTTGTCAACTGAACTGGAACTGCTGTCACTGACGGTCTGAGGCAGCACCATCACGCAAGGCAGCAGGTGGTGGTTGTGGCCACCAGAGCCTCTTCACCACACGGGGATGCGGCCACTATCTCATGACAGTCGAGGAGGTGGGCTTTCATCATCCGAGCCAGAGTCCAACCACCCTCATCGCCACCCGATCGAACAGGTTTGGGGATGCCGCCATCTAGAATCTAGAAACATGGGAACCTGGCTGTCACCTTCATCACTGGACCCTTCACGAGAAGAACGGTTCTCTTCGGAACCATTTTCCGCACCATTACATTCCTCCATTCCTGATCTCCAACTTCCTCCTTCGCCACCATCGTCTTCAGAACGAGACCGTGGAAAAACATGTGCAGGAGCCGGATCGGATGCTTTGGCCTGCGTTGCGCAAACGCAAAATGCAATGTAATATTGGTTGGCCACAGTGACACATAGAAACCAATTCAGGTTAGAATCCCCTGCAGAGACTGTGAATTCGAAACCTTACCAGCACTGGGTTTGCCATCCCAATCCTTTGCCCGTGTTGGAGATGGCAGCAGCAAGGCTTTCAGCTCGGAAATGCTCGGATGGCTTCCAGCTTTGCCTTGAATGATTGCAGCGCAACCGGAAGACCCTTGCACACAAGCGATGAAGCCTAAGAAACTCAAACCAATAAACATGAAAAGAATCTGACTTGAACCGATTTGCTACTTCTCCATAGGCCTCTTGAGGGCCTCTATGAGATGTTTGACTTTCTTTGCTTCTTCAGAAGCCAAAGAGTGCTTTCTCTCTTCAGCATTGAGGGGCTGAAGCGACCGACCGTTGTACAACTTGTCCAGGTACAGGAAGGTGTCGACAAAAAGCTGGATGGTTCCTTCTCCCTCAACCTTTGAACGGTTTGATCCAGCAATGGTTCCAAACTAGGTCGTCTGCCTGAGGTCGTGTGATTGGATCAGTGAACTGGATCAGTGCCCCCCCATGGCCCCCCTTCCCTTCAGACTCAAGAATCTGCGCCACAGACAAGGGTAGGCCAGATCTGTTGTAGGCCAACACCTGAACATGGAGCTTCCATGCCTCCCAGGTCCGGCCAGGCAAAAGCATTGCAAAAAGGTGAGAAGGTTCCAAGTACACAGATGGAAAACATCAAACGCATAAAGATGGAAGACAGCAAACCTTTCCAAACATCAGCCATGAAAGCTCGCATGACTGCACGCACACAGACCATCTAATCAAGCCAGTCTCATGCAAACGCATAATGTCAAACGTGTAATGTCAAAACCTAGTGGCTGCAATGCCGCAACAAACTTTTCCGATGTTCACGAGTCTAGCTTGCGACTGCATAGGAGCGACTGCGTAGGATGGTTGATGGTCCCAAAATGTCCCAAATGGCTCTGGCTTTGCAGAGCAACGTGTGACAGACAGTTCATAAAACCAGAGTCTTGCAGGTTCTTATACAAGATTACAAGATCGCTTGCAGTTTTGAGGCAATACATGTACCTAAAGTTGACACCGTAAACGCAATGTTTTTCTCAACGGTGCGTGAACCTAAAGTTCACTTGCGCGTACGTTGGCAGTTTGAGAAAGCAAGTGCGACACCCCACCACCCTTCGGGGTGCCTGGTCAGGACCATAGCTATGACCGAACAAATGAAGGGATAAAGGTTGGTCAGCGACTGTGAGTGAATGTGTCTTTTCTAGCCACTGCGGGTTTCCAGGTTCAGCAAACAGTTTTATAAATGTAAATGCTGACCAACTCATAATACAGTTTCTTGAGGAAACGATTTGCTGTATCAGGCGGAGAAAACGTTTTTTTTGCGTGGTTGATGAGCTTGAAGGCTGCAATCAAGTAGTGCTGCGTCTGATTTCTGAGAAAGGGTAAACATTCTTTAGCCCTTGTGCCTTCCACTTGTCGGCCGTTATAGAAACATCCTTTGAGTGTTTCTGTGGATTGACGGTTGGTGTTCACCAAGTGATTTGATTCCTCTAAATGTATAGTGATGGTGGCGATGGTTCGCAAACAGGTGCAGGCTTAGAGTTCAATGAGTTGTGGACGCCTAGAGGTGGAAAGAGATGTCTGACATTCAGGGGTGGAGGTGCAACAGGGCCGCCGTGCTGTGTCAGGTTTTGGCCCGAAGGATGCAGTGCCCATTATAAGTTGACAATGCTCTTACCCATATTAGTTCCAAACCCATCAATCCAAAGAAGGAACCAACAAACCTTCCGTTATGGGCGCCCCCTCTCGGCGAGCTTGGGTTTTGCTGGCATTGCCGCTGGTGCCTGGGCATGTTGGAAATTGTTCGCTTCCTACTTGGCCTTGAGGGTTTGTGTGTAAAGAAACCGTTTCGTGCTGCCAATTAGGGTCGTACACACCAGGGGTCGAAGATGCGTACTGATGAGGATCGTCTCGGAGGGTGTTATGATGTAGTTGGACATACACCTCCACAGACTTTATCAAGCTTCCATGCGGCACTCAGTGAACAGCTCGATCTCGATGTAGAACTCGGTCTTCATGTTTTCAATCCATCCATGAACCTTCCATGAACCCAGATATATATATATATATGTAGCGACCAGGAACCGTGAAACCCCCCAAAACTTGATTGATTCGCCCCCCACTCTTGGATTCATTTGCTCGAACATTTTAGATAGTATTTTAGGTCTATGTCGGCTCGGGCCATGTGGATTTGACATGAGATGGCCCCGGCCCTACCCATTTTGTCTGCCTGTCACCCAGTCAAAGACCTTGTAGAGGGGGCTGACGCTGGGTGGGGCCCAAGGGAGTCGCTGCAGTGTGAATTGATGTCGAGAGGGATCGAAGAATGTAAAGGGATGATGGGGATGAAAGACATGGAAAATGCTTGACAAAGACCACTTTGTAACTCCCAGGTGCACTTTTCGCCCAGATGCTTCCTTTCACAAGTGAGTGGACGTTGGCCGCGGTCAACATATGCAGCGCCGGCGACGTCGACAGTGATGAAAGCATCAGAGCTCCCAGAGTTTGACCTTAATAGATGCTCGCTGGCAAGAAGAGAGCAAGGCGGTGCAAAGGCAGGGTTCAATGAAACACCTTTGGTCCAAATAAGTTGGAGTACTTCACCAAAAAATAGTCAGGACACAACCGGAATGCCACAAAGAGCAGCACAAATTTTTGGGTGACGTGGCCACATGCGACTCCTGCAGTTGGCGGCCTTTAAGGGGTGGCGCAATGGCCACCGCTCTGAACTCGATGAAAGCTATGGGTGCCATGAAATTCAACTCAACCGCACTGGTTAGTTTGCACTTTAATTTTGCAGTTGAGATTGCTAGGAGACATGTAGAACACATCATGGCCTCCAGGTGTGATGTGGTCACCCGCTTGTTTTGGATGTGTTTTTTTTTTTTTTTTCTGACCATTTTACTGACTTTTTGTTGCTGTAAATTCTTGTAACTCAGTTCACCCAGTTGTTGTAGCTACTTGGCTGCTGTTGGCATCACCCAATGAAATTATCACTAAGCCAGTTGAACCGCTTAGCAACCTTTTGATTGAGAAACCTTATGAGTACACTTGGCGGTTTGTCCAGCAAGAGTTCGGACCACCGTGGCCCGTTGGCCAAAAGTTCTGGAACCTTTTTCTCGCTTCTGCGCTGGAAGACTGCATTTATCCAGATATCACGGTTGGCGAAGTGGTTTCCAAAGGCCACTTGGAGACGTAGCAACCAATGTAACGAAATGAACGACACATTTGGACAAACCTCCTGAGTCAGCTCGAACACCTCCGCAATCGTGATGAACATGCTAAGGCGTCGTTGATCGAACGGAGATGCAGCTCTGCGACACCACTTTGAAGTTGCTCGACAGTAGCGGCAGCGCGTGCGAGACACCAGGTTCCAATCAATGGTGGTTTGTGAGCTCAAGATGCTCACATTGGTTGCTCTTAGACCCAAGCCCCATGCCCATGCCTGCATCATCCTGCATCCCATTACGTGCAAGTTTTTGCTGTCATAAGCCTTCAACATATTTCAGTGGGAAGCTCGCAAGAGCATATTGCAGGTTCAATCCGGAGTGCATCAATGTTTTTCTGCATTAGCCGATCAGACCTTGACCTCAAACAGACCTTATAAAGGGCCAAGAACAACAGGTCAAAACTGTTTCTTTTAATATAGGTAGTACTATAGGTAGTATTAGTATGCAAATCAAAGAGTGGAAAGCTTTCTGTTGGAGTATAGAGAAGCAAGAGAAACATACACGCCTCGGGCTTTGGTGAGCGAGACGAAGGAGCAGTGAAAAAGAAAGGGAACCGACAGACAAGTCTGCCGACGAACTCTGCCTCCAGTTTGCGAGCGAAACAAGAGAATCGCCCGTAGTGTAGAACAGAAACAGGTCCACATGCATGGCCAGTGGATGCTTCCCTCTCTGATGCATAGCTTCATTGGTAGCATCAGAGAGCTTTGTCCGCTTGGAACAGGGTTTGACAAACACACACACACTGACCGACCGACCGACCGACTGACAATAAACACTTCGTTTCAGGATTTTGAGGGGTTTAAGACCGACAGTGACACGAGACAAATCACCATGTCAAGGAGCAATGCATTTTGTCGTTCGCAGCTCGCAGCTTCATAGTCACACAGGATGATCATAAATATGTTTGCTGTATTTTCTCGTGGGGGGGCCATCATCATTGCCACTTGGCCTCGAAGAAACAATCGAGTTCCAAGGTGTAGTCCTCATCTATGCCCCACTGTCCAGCATTCAGCGTCGTCACTACCTCTATTGCTGACAGCAAACACGATTCGCACAAGAGGCTGCATCCACAAAGATGTGGTTCGCAAACACACCGTGAGATTTTCCTTCATGGTGGGATGCAAGGCAACTCACACCGGCAACGAAAATGCCTTCGAGACTAGTCACTAGCGCCAAATCGCCAAGTTTCCCTGAACTAGTTACAGGCCATCTCCAGCCTTGAAGGGTTCTTGAAAAACATTCGTAGTTGAAGATGTTGGAATTTCGTTTTATTGGGTTCTAACGACTTCTCGCATACACTTCAGTGACAGCATTCTTTTTTGCTGCAGAGCTGAAGTCTCTGTGCTTCGCAGCCCATATGGCCACGGGTGGGTGGGCCGGGTGTGGCCATTGGCCTCCCGAGCCTCAAGACTGCAAAAGCGAACATGTCTCTAGAACCTTGCGTCTTCCAACGTCAGACTCTCATGTTCTAACGACTTCTCGCATACACTTCAGTGACAGCATTCTTTTTTGCTGCAGAGCTGAAGTCTCTGTGCTTCGCAGCCCATATGGCCGTCACTGTGTCATTGGGAAGCAAGCGACCTTGTGCACCTTGGAGCTCTTCACGGTCATCTTCTGGACGTTGTAGCCATGCATCCTGCGCTCTTCGTCGCCAGGTGAGCCTAAAGCTTGCATCGTCCCATCGTAGCCGATCTTCTCCATCTGCTCCCTTGGTGCTGGTGCGGCTTCCTTTCCATCAAAAACCGTCCTCTCATTGAGACTCTTCGAATTCTCAAACCCCTTGTTCTTCCGGGGGGCAAGTAGTTGGCCATCCGCTTTGGCCATGCCTTTTGCCAGATCCTTTTGGCGCTCGTGCGACTCCCACAGATAGCCGTGGAAGGCGTCGGAGTTCCATCTGCCAAAACGTTTCACGATGTCCAGGTCCTTGGTGGTCTGGTACATGGCTGTGGCGCCACCAATGCGCAAGCTGTGCGAACCATACCTCGTCGTAGATTGACCATCTGCAACCGCTGCCAACTGTATCAGGCCCTGGATGTCGGTCCTCTGCAAGGGTTTTCCATTCTCCAATCTGAACAAGGGCTGATCTGCTTCAGCACCTGCAAAACGTTCAGGTTTCATAGCCTGGTAGTTGGCCAGCGCGGTCACCACACAGAGCTCGTCACCGCTTCTGAACTGGTTGCGGACAGTGCCCTGATTGTACTGGTCCGTCTTGGAGCCCTTGAGGTAGATCACGATCTCCTCCGCCTGGTGGAAGTTCATGACCTGCAGGTTGTCCCTTCGTGCCTCGATGTCATTGCCCTTCAAGGTCCTCGATGTCCCCCATGATCGCCCCATAGTGACCAAGAACTCCGAGGCTCGCAGCAAGAAGAAGAATCCCACCATAATCGCAGCCCAAAGGATCGCCTGGTCAACTCTGCTCAGGGTCTCGCTGGTACTCAAATGCTTTTTGATCCACAGCAGCATAGCCGGCAGTACTGGGTACTTCCGCTTTGTCTCGGGCTGCCACCGCTTGTAGCCGTTGAGAGCTGCCCAGATTCGCACCTTGTGCAATGTGGGATCTTCATGCCCTGCCACCAGATGGCCCATCTTAATGGCGAACAGCCTCTGCTTGATGGTCCCCTCAGTCCTGCCCATGACGTGCGCCAAGTAGGTCATGAATCGAAGGAGTTCATCTTCATCGATCTTGCGGTCCTCTTTGCTCTCGCCGGTGAGGTACACATCCTTTCTTCCCATCCGGCGCCACAAGCACCATTGCTTCCAGCCAACCTCGTAGCCAGCCCGCGTGCCCTCCGAGAGCTTGGACATCACCGCCTCCGCAGCCAAGGCGTCGAGCCATGCTTGATCTCGCCTTAGCTCACGATTAGCATCAAGCTGTAGGCGTTCTCGACCACGACCAATCGCGCTTGGGAGGACCAATCGGTCCGGAGGCCCTGACTTCGCCCTCTTGGTGGTTTGTCTCTTCCCTCCGACCTTCTGGTCACCCTCTAAGTCGGCCTTCTTGGCGGCAAGCCATCTCTCGTAGTTGGCCCTGGGGTTGTGGTTGTCTCCCTGCCAAGCTCGCATCCAAGCACGCACTTGTTCGTCAGCATGGACTCGATCAGGGTCGCGACAAACTCCAACTCTCCCTCCAGCCTCAGGTCCCTCATTGATTCCCTGGCGCCAGCGTTCGTACCAGGACAGTAGGTGATGGGCGCTTTGCTGCGGAAACTTCATGGCTGCGTCCTTCTTGAAGAAGCTCACCTTTGCTCCGGCTTCGCGAAGCAGATGCAGCTCCTCAAGGCGCCCACCATTCAGGAGCCATTCCTCTTCTGCACTGATTGCTCGCGCCTGGACCGCCTCACCACGATGGTCAAGGACAACCATAGACCTCCCTTTCCTGCAAGTTAATGCGGGGCCCCGGATGTCGTAGAGGAGCTCTTTCTTGTCCCCTTCCTTGTAATGGCCAGCAGGCCATGGCAGCATGCGGTCCCCAGAAGTAGAAATCTTGTTGTTCAGCGTCACCTCAACGTCGCTGGCCAACCATTCCTGCCTCACCGCTCCAGCTGCCGAGTCCAGGGCGCGCTTGATGCTCGCAGGTTCTGCGGCGCTCCGAGGAGCTTCATCCGGGAAGGTCGCATCATTGGCCAGTGAGCCTCGATGAGCAACCAGGACGAACTTGCGCTTGGCCACGGGGTCCCCAAAGTGGGTGGTCAGGTACTCGTTGACATTCACCACATAGTCAAGCTTCTTAAAGTCCGCCTGCACTTCACGAACTGGGCCTTCCCTCGCCAGGTCGATCAGCGCATTCGAGGGACGATGCTCCTTGACAAACTGTCTGACATAGGAACGCGTTCCCCCCCAGCTATCCTCGGCAATCGAGGCGAAAACCCAAGTGAGGTCCTCCTCCGACTGTAGGCATTCTGTCCCCTTCAGGCTGGAGCCCTCAATCGCTGCTTCACATTGATCTCGGTTGCCCGGTAGTCGACAAACACGGCCTCCCAAACGTGACCACGCTATCGCCCATGGCAGATGCCCCCTGCCCAACTCGATAGCGTTTCCCTTTGCCACCACTGGACGATAAGGTTGAGAGGGGCGCTCCCCCTCCTGCCTCAGAGTTCCCAGCGATGCCCCTCCAGGCCATCTGAAGATGCCGTTCACGGACTCCTCGATGTAGGACTCCCATTTCTCCTGCGCCTCGACTTTCGTCCAACCTTCGAGCTTCAACTTGTCCTCCACGACCTTCTTCGTCTCTCGGCTCAGCCAGTCCGCTGTGATGTTGTGATAGGTCCTGATGTAGAACGCCAATGTCTTGAACTGGAATCGCACCTCGAGCATTCCCAAGACCCGGAGGATGTGTCGTGCCACCGTGCATCTAGACTGCCGCTTGGTCAACCACGACCTGACGTTCTGGTTGTCCGTGGCATAGGCGATTATCTCCCCATGCCAAGAGCTGCTCTCTGCTGCGGCCAGCCCCACGAAGCAAAGAAGCTCTGCAAGTGCTATTTTCATGCTGGGCTCTTCCTCAAGCTCGGGCACCCTACCTAATGCATGGAGCATCACCTTGGCATCCTCCCTCATGTAGCGCTTGCCCTTCCAGTCAAGTGCGCCTGCCACGTCTGGAGTTGCATCTCCACCCACCCATCGAAGCCTGCTGCTCATGCCTGGAAGAGCGAGTAGTTCACGAGTGGACAGCATGCTTTCCATCGACGATTCGAAGCTGCCCTCATATAGGGGGTCTCAAACCAAAGCCGTAGGAGCGCCAACGTCTCATCCCAACAGCGCCACGCTGACTCTGAGGCGTTTTCATCCTTGACATTCGGCTGGATGTAGCCCCCCACGCACTTGCTTGGACATAGGAAAAGATCCAAGGTGCCGAGCTCCGTCCGCAAAGGGGGTATGGTGATTGCCGCATACTGACTGAGCCCGCGCAGCTCTTGAGCGACCTTCAGCCGCACCTGGCGCACCCCATACTGCAGTTCCGGCAAGGCCAACAGGTAACGCATCTTCAAGGCTTTCGGTTCAGGCAGCCTGATGGTCATGTTCTCCACATTCATATAGAGCCCCCACACGATCTGCTCGGACGCAGGTGTCCCCTCCTCAATCTGCTTGTCGAGGTTCAACGCCGCCTTGCCCCAGATCTTCTCGATGGAGTGGCCCAACGCGTCAACTGCTTGCCACGGCCTCACCCCCATCAGAGGCTCCACGATCACGCTGTCATCCATTAGCCACTCAGAAGAGAACGGGGTGGGTCCATTGACGCCTTCCATCTCCGGCTTAAAGCTCTCATGGTAGGCTCGACCAGCGAGGGCGAACGCCATGTATTCTCCCGGGGCGCCACACCAACCGAAAGGGAGGCCACCGTAAACCAGCTTCACCCTGCCCTCGACTCCCACCAATTCACCGGGCAGAGCACTGCCGAAGTCCGCGGTGTCCTCGGGCGCCACGTCGTGCCACTTGAAAGCCCTGCTCACATCCAGCTTTGCGATCAAGCAACGAATGCCCGGATTTCGGGCCTTCCACCAAATGGCCTTGCGAGCAATCTGACGATGCCGTGGTTGAACTGCTGGCGGATGCTGGTACTTGTGGGTCGCTGCATTAGCCGTCATCATAGCGTGAATCGGGCGCCCCTCCGCACTGATGCTGCGATCTGGCAGTTGCTTTGGTACTCGACCTTGGGGGCATTCGATGAGATTGCTGGTGCAATCTTCTGTCGCATCCGATGCAAAGAGCACGATCCCCCAGTGTCCATCCTTCCAGGCTTTCTGGTACATCTCTTCGAGGTGCTCGATGGCTGAGGGATAGGGTTCTGCTTTCAACCTCCGAGCGGGGTAGTATCGGCGAGTCCGGACTCCATCCCTGTTGGCCGCTTTAAGGTACTGTGCATGGTCAGATTCCAAGCATCTCAGGACCTCTTCGGAAGTGGCACCAATCGTTGGGACCCCAATCACTTGCCTTCTTGCTGCCCTCAGACCTCGCATGGCTTCTTCGAGTGTCCCAGCGGTCCTCAACAGGTCATCGCCCAATTCGACGGCCTGCTTGATCACATTGGGCTCGTACTTGGGGTGCTCCCTGCAGTGGTGCACATAGCAAAGGGCCTTGTCCAGAACCTCCTCCTTGACACTCTGGCCCTTCTCGGAGTAGACAGGCGCTCCCACGTGGTACTCGTCCTCGATGGTCTCCCGCATCATCCAGCGATTGCCCTCCGTCTCTTCGGCCTCAAGAATGCAGGATGCTGATAGGTAACCCACCCGTCTTTCTTCTGCTCCGTCATCAGCATCTGGCCCGCGTCCCCTTGACCTCGACCTTGACCGTCGTCTCCGGTCCGATGAGCTGCCCGGCTGCTCCTCCGCCTGCTCTGCGTCATCACCCTCAATGCGTCCTCCATTCCAGGGATCCCAAACACCTCCTCCAGGGTAGTACCGTCTCGCGTCCGCAACCTGCTCCCGCGTTGGCACTGGGAATTCCCTGGGCGGGTGAAAGACCGGTTGGTAGTCTCTTCCCTCCGGATATGTAGGCCGCAGCTCACTTTCAGGTTCGGGCGCCGGGCTATCGGGCTCGCCTCCTTCTTCTTGTCCACGCTCAAAGTGTGGTCCAAGCTCTGGCCTGATCAAAGGATCGTACAGGTAGAAGGTGGTTGCTCCAGTCCAGTCGGCGTACTCCGCATCGATCGAGTCGGGGATGTCACGAAGCCTCGCCAGGTCCACCCTCCAGTTGTCCAGGAAGACTCTCTCGTGCGGGGCGATCTCCGACAGTTCCCTCCGCTGCGGGTACATCCATGTCCTGCGATCACTCCTAATGAGGTGGTCCGAAACCGGGCAGTCGGTCCAGTCGACATAGTGCGATCCAAACAAGTGGGTGCGAGACATCACGTGGTGGCGTACCAGGAATAGGTTGTCCTCTTGAAGGTCCCACCAATCCTCAGAGCGTCCGTCGAGCCCTTCGAGTGGTCGTGGTGGCCCGAAGATGTTGATGTTCCCTTCGTATGGGCGTACTGGTTCCGCCACATCTCCTGGACTGACTTCTCTAGGAACGAGCCGTGCCATGACTCTGGCCTCATCACGAGGGTTCATACGCCTATCTTCATCACTGGTGGCCCCCTCCTCTTCCTCTTCTTCACCTTCAGGCTCCAGTGGGTCCTCCGGGATAGGGATGCCGTGGCTGAACTCACCCTCGCCGATGCTGCCACAATGGTGTCCACGAAGAAGACCAAACCCTTCCTGAAACTCATCGATCTCTGCACTTCCACATCGTTCGGACAATGAGAAGGCTGCCGTGGAATGTGAGGGAGCCGCTTGATGTGAGGGGTCAGACTGTCCAGCATGTTGGTGTCTATTTGCCCCTGCTTTGTGTGGGATCTCCCCTTCTCGGCCATCACTCTCCTGAATCACCTCCAGTGCCTGTGCCACCTGAATGGTGTCCCATCCTGCATAAGCCGCTTGCACCACCAATGCCTTTGCATAGTCTCGCTGGATACACCTGTGCTCTTCGAGTGCGGGGAACTCCAGGTAGGTCAGACTCACCTTTCACGTCCATGTGTCTGTGCTGCCCTTGGCAACGACGAGAAAGGAGCAGTGCATGCAGGTACAAGCCAGGGGACACAAGGTTCCACTGACCCTTCTTATACCTCATCTCTGGCCGGTCAGTCGGCGCTGAGCCCCATTCGCACAAGTGGGTCGGCACAATGAGTGCTCCTGTAGACTGCTGCAAGCGCTGAATGGCAGGCTGATCCCAAATTTTTGGGTATCTTCCGGATGGCATCGAAGACTCCAGGATGAACTCCTTGTCGTGGTGGTAAAGTGACTCGCACATCCGGCAGGTGAGGTCACAGAAATAGTTGCCCTCTTGCTCGCTTGCCGTGGGGTGCGGACCTCCTTCGGGTGAACTGAAGCTTCGAGTTCCCCCGTTGAGGATGTTGAAGTCGCAATAACTGGTGCAAGGGGTTCCAAATTCCCAAACGTTTGCTGCTGATGGTCCTGGGAGCTCCATCGTCGCCTGCAGGTAGAAGTTTGCCACTTTCTCGTCCTTGAGATCGAACTGCTCGCGACGTCCTTTCTTCTGTAGGGGGTCACTGAAGAGCTCGATGGGCTCGTTGGCGGCCAGTCCTGCTTCCATCATAGCTTTGGTCCAAGATCCAGAGCCTGCAAAGACCTCCTGCACCCTGATGCCATATGCGAAAGCGGGCCTGTGCTTCAATGGGGAGTGTGCCCCCATCAGAATCAGCTCCTGCGTGTCGACTGGGTGTTCATTGAAGCTCCATGGGACTTGAGGCGCTGCCTTTCCCTGTTTTGGGTTGTTGTCTTGACAACGCGGGCATTTGGGTCTCTTGCCAGGTACAAGAGGCGCTGCCGGATCTTCATTTGCGAGAAACTCCCGCCACCCCTCACAAGGCCATTCACGGTCGGATTGTCCACTCAGAGTCAGCTCCGCCGCCACCTTCACCGGCTCATCCTTCTCGATGGGCACGAGCAATCTAATGTGGCCCCCATGGATCAGGAAAGGAATGATGTTGTTCTCACTGCCTGGTGCACTCCCGACAAGGTGGTCCACGTGGACTTGACCCCTGCAGTTTAATCTCCAACATTGCAGTGTCACCTCCTTCAGCTCCTCCAGGACGAAGGCCTGAAACAACCGGTAGTCCTTGTCATGATGGGCCCGAAGACAATCATGAGCGAAGCCTCGGACCTCCGCCTCGCGTGCTCCTATCCAGGGTGCTGGGTCTCCAAGCTCACCGATGGCTTTAGCCGCTTCATCCCATAGTCCAGCCCGGAAAGATTGTGCCTTCAGCCTCACCTCCTCCAGCGATGGCACGCGCTCCGGGTCCCAATCTCCTCCCCAAAGCAGGATGCCAGCTGCGGGATGTAGCACCAGACATTGTCGTTCCTCTTCATCTCCAGGCTGCAAACCAAGTGCACTTGCTAGCTCATCAGGTACTGGTAGCCGGTCTTTGTAGTCCAGATAGCGCCAGCAGCGCCTTTCTGGTCCGCATTGGAACTCGAATTTGCCTTCGCCGTACCCCTTTTCTTTGTGCCAGACTGTGGGGCTGACCCATGCTTGGCGCTCCTCATCTACCCAGCCAACGGATCGCTCTTCTCCCAAGACCTTCTCCGCCTCCTGGGCTAACTCAGGGCATCCCTTCTCGGTCGCTTCCAAGAGCACCTCGTCAATTGTCATCTCCTGCTTCTCGATGATGGCGTTGAGCATCCGACCTCTTACATGAGATTGAAGGTAACTTGACCAGCCAGCGAGCCTCGCGAATGCACCGCCTTTCTCCAGCTCCTCAAGGATCCTCAAGCGTTTCTGGGCCTCCGGATGTTCGACTCGCCTGCTCCACACTGTGTGAGGTTCTGCTCCTGGCCTTGATGACGGGTCTTTCAGCCAATCTGCATCAGGACCACGAGTCAGCTCCCTGAGCTCATCCTCAAGTTGGGTGTACTGGATGTCCTCATACTCCTCCGGGGGCAGCCACCCTTGCTTCTGTCCAGCGCCATCCTTCACCTTCTCGTCCTGCTCTGCTTTGGCTTGTGCTCTCAGCTGAGCAATGCGCCCGTCGACCTGCGCTGGTTGAATCATGGGTCCATTCTTCAGTCCTCCTCTTCTGATGAGCTGTGCCAGCACGGTCCAATGCAAACCCTTGGTGGTGTTGATGGGCTGATGGGCGTGGTTGCAGTCTTTGCCTCTGCTGCACCCCATGTGGGTTGCTCCATCCCAACAAATAGGCTTGCCCTCCTTGGTCCGTGGCCCATGCTTCACTGATTCGGCGGCTTCACGAGGACGCAACCTCTTCCCAGCTGGATATGCCTTCCTCTCGTCCTTCTCCTTCTCCCGCTTCTTCCTGTCGTTCTTGTCGCTGCCACGCTCGCGGCCTCGACCAACGCGATCTTCCTCTCCGCCAGCTTCTCCGCCATGAGGTTCTCCTTCACCCGGGGCATGATCTCCTCCGACTTTTGGTGCTTGGCGTTTGTGGTGCAGCTGGCCATAGATGATGCCCTTCAGCGCCCGCGCCTGTCTAGGCACGCATACCTGCTGGTAATAGCCTTCAGGATGTGCTAGGTCAAAGGTCCTTGGGAAATGGAAGCCGCTGTCTGGTGCCAAGGCAACGAACTTCAGGTCCTCCTTGCGGGGATTGTCGGTGTTCAGGATCCTGCAGAGTTGTCTTCGACTCTCTCGAAGCTCCTCCACCCACGCTGCCTTAAGCTCCTCCCACAAGCTGTAGCAATAGCTCTCAGGCCAGACGTCCGAATCCTGCTCGTGGGCCTTCTCGATCTGCTCAAGGGCCTTGATGCGCTCCTTCTTGTGCTCCAGGCCGATGACTGATCCGATCATCTTGATCTCATTCCTCGCCTGCTTCAACCAGGTGGCAAAGTGAGTTGGGTACCGGGGTTTAGGCTCGATCTTGTCGTCCTTCGGTGCCTCATACTGATCGAAGTCTCGTGGTTTTGCAGTCACGGCATGGGCGACGCTGAGCTGCCAAGGTGCGAGCGTCGAATGATCCTTCCCACCATGCTGCATCGCTGCTAGCCCGTAAGCAATCCCGTTCGTGACCAAGCAAGGCCACTCGATCTGCTGCAGCTTGGCCTTAGCGTGTGAACACGCTCTTTTCAGGGCGTCGAAGAGCTCCTTGCCGGTGACGTCGGGGCATACCTCCACAGTCAAGGTGTTGCAACCTCGGGCCAAATAGACGTCAAGGCTCTCTTCTGACCCGATGGCACTCCGAGTGCCGGGGTTGCCCTTCTTGTCGCCCTCCGTGGCTTTCCGGATTCCTTCGAGTGCATGTACCACTCGAGCGCTCATGTGGGTCTCCTCTTCGTCGCCTCCAGCTCCGGCTCGTGTTGACACTTCCTCAACCCTGCCACCCATGCCGAATAGCTGCCCCACGATGCTGTCATTGGCTGTCAGTGGATTGTACTTGCCGGTCTCCTCTGCGGGGCGAATGAGGCTACCTTCCTCCTTCTTCTCGCCATAGTGAGCCGGGAAGAGCTTGTCCGGGGTGCTAGGGTTCCGTTTCTCCTGTGGTTTCGGTTGTTCTGCACGAGCTTCATGGTAAGCTCCATCTTCTCTGGCGCTTCTTGCGCTCTGCTGTTCGCTCATCCCCTTAAGGATCTTGATGGCCACCTCCACCTGCTCGTTCTGCTTGCCACAGTTCTTCCTGATGTAGGTCCGCATCGTGCTGCCGATGGTCTGCATGTCCACCTCAAAGATCATCTGGATCGTGTCGATCGCCTCCTTTTGCGTCTGCCCGGAGTTGACGGCGGTCATGTAGGCCTCAACGATGCCCTCGCCTGTCATCTCCTCAGTGTCACCATCAAGCGCTGTGTCTCGGTCCAGCTTGCTCCTGAAATCGTCCTCCTCTCTCATCGCTCGGGCAAGGCTATGGCTTCTGCTCCGCGATCTTGTTCTTGGTGCCAGATTCTCCCTTTGGTGGTCATCATCGCGCCCACGAACTTGCTTGTCGATTCCCAGTTCGGCTTCCGCTGGCCAGCTAGGCCAAAGCTCCCCTTTAACATAGCCGGCACTGTGCTTCCTCACCAGGCTTGCCAAGTTCTTCTTCACCTCCTTCAACTGCGAATCGTTCAGGCGCCTCCCACCTGCAACAGTGCGGCCCTCCCAAGCTGCGAGGCGTTGCATGAGGATCTCTGGAATCAGGTACCCCTTGATGTCCAGTCCAAGGCATTCTGCATCGGGTGGCACCTCCTTCACCAAGAGCTGCGCCCTCGTTGTGTCCAAGTCTTCAATGCCCTTCGCATCCATCATGTCCTCGAGGTACTTTGGGTCGATGACCAAGGTGTTGTCTAGGTACTTCACGAAGACCTCTAGCTTTCGATCTCCACGAACTCCACCTGGTGTATATCCGCATAGCTCTCCCATGCACATGATCCAGTCTGACTGGTCGTTGACATAGTTCAGCTTCAGCTTCAGCTTCAACCATACAGGCTTGCCCATGACGTCCTCCTGCTCCAAGCCACCTCGTGGTGGTGATGGAATCATCACCTTCCCCAAGTCCACTGAGCTTGACCGGGCTGGTGCCATGCCACTCTCCTTCTTAGCATGTTGTGATGGTCCTTCTTCTGCTGCAGCTGGGGGCACGCTAGCTTGCTGACATTCGAACGCTGGACTGCGGCTCCGGCTCTGTGCTCTGCGTGTGAAGCGACGACGAAAACCCTGCAACATCCCATTGGGGTGTGGGCTATCCTTTCTCGCACCTGCTCCTCCTTGTTCACATAGATGATCATAGCAAAGTGGGACACCATGCCGTGCACCTTTGGAAGCCTTGTGACAAGTGAGCACGCCACACTTTCTTTTAGCTGAGGCGCTTTGGTAGACCTGGCGATGATGTGCACATAGAGGAACTCGAACCAGTTGCCCAGGTCCGGGTGGCCTGACATCTGAGACCTCAACGTCCTCGTCCAAGAGGGTCGTCTCCTCCTGGGTAGCCAGGTCGTTGCAGCCGTCTGGAGCTAGAGGCCTCATCTCTCCATCAACCACAAGGCCTATCCTCACTCCTTGACATGATGCCTCATCACCCTCCACCTCGGATTCGGAGTCAGGGTCCAACAAACGCTCACGGCCCTCCTCATCTCTTATCACTCGGCTCACCCTTTTCACAAAACAAAGCCGGAAACAGCAGCGGGCCCCACGAGCAACGAAGCCAATCACGCGCCAGACTCCTCGACCACATAGCCCCAGTAGCCAGCGCGGTGAACCATGGGCATAACGGTGCAAGTCCAGCAACGCTTCGTGATCGATGCCAGCGAACTCCTGGATGTGAAGGGTGTGCTCTGCTCGGCATTCAAGCTGCCTGCAAAGATGAATCTCGCCTGCCTCCTCCAGTTCACGACGAAACTGTCTCGAGGTGCAGCTCGACACTCCACTGAATTTGACCCTGAGCCCATCGCTGTCGATTCGCTTGAGGAGGCTTTCTTCTTGTTGCAAGCGGGCTACATGACCTCCTCTTCGAATCACAACATCATTCAGGCGCCTCCTGCTCCCCCTACCCTTCAATCGCTGTTGCAGGTAGCGGGTATCCGTGGGCCAACCAGTCTTCGGTCCATGCCATTCAATGTCCACCATCGGAGGCCGTGCGCTCGGTAGGTGTGCTTCAAGCCCATCACGGCGCCGGCAACAGCATACTCCACAAAGAGCTTGAACTCCTCGTCCGATCGCCCGACATGGTCCTGTCAGCGTGTGGATGCTGTAGGTCAGGATGCCCAGTAGTCCAGTGTTGAACGTCGCCATGATGATGCAAGCCGTCCAGGGCCACCAAGCTCCAAAGGCCTGCACGCCAATCCCATCGATGAAATAGCCGGCCCACCCTCCATCCACACGTAATCTGCCAGGTCGGTCAGGCGTCCCGAACCAAGAGACGTTCGAGACCAGGCTGCCAGCAGGCTTCCAAAAGCCCCAAATGGCGCCTTCGGCCCACCAAAAGATCCCCTCCTGGTGGGCCTCATCATCCAGCGGCACTCCCAGGTCTTCCTCGGTCACGTTGTCCGTGTCCTCCAAGGTCCCCAGGTCCACCAGATGCTCAGCGCTCCATGGCCATCCTACCACGAGTGCGGTGAGGGCTGAGCAGATGTGTTTCCACATCATCTATGCCAATGGCTACAGTGTGTGGCCATTGGCCTCCCGAGCCTCAAGACTGCAAAAGCGAACATGTCTCTAGAACCTTGCGTCTTCCAACGTCAGACTCTCATCATGAGGCCCACAGATGTGTCGAAACATGACATCACAACCAAGAGTGAAACAAAAAGTACTGTAGTGCTTTGTTCAGCCTGATAGATTCCGCAACCTAGCAGGATTCTACAGACGAGTGATGCACGTAAATCGGAAAGGGCTTTATGGACATGTGTTTGCCAAGAGTGGCGATATTACTATGTCACTATGTGTAAAATATATTATGGCGATTATGTACCGCACATGTCAAAGCAAGGCCTCATTTGAAGAACGCAAATGCATTCTTGCTGATTTTGCGGCTTGCTTTGCCAGTTTCCTCAGTGGAGTGCATGAAAATCCAAACTTGCAACATGTAATGTGTGACGTTATCGCCATGATGTGAAGTCCTTCCTGCGACCCTGGTCGTAACGCGCTATCACGAAGCGCCAAAGGGGGGCCCAATCTTCATCCCTGGGGTTGCATTTTTTAGGATAGCTGCTTGGCTACCTGCGAGGTGAACTCTTGGAAGAGAGCACTATTTGTCAAATTCATTTTTATGTAGTTTTCTCGTGCTTTCCAGTGTTTGGAAACTTCCAGGTTGGTGAGCTCTGTGTTTGGCTTCCCAGACTACGAAAGCCTTTTGACGTTGAACAGCAATGGCACCGCCCGCTTCTATGCGGGCATGGTGAGCAAAGAGCTTGGTGCGTGGTCGGTGATCGAAGGTGATCCAAATGAAGGCGAGGATCCGAGCGATTTATATCTGGCCCCTTGGATGGAATCAGAAGCACGAAAAAGCCTTTTCCCCATTACAGGCCACATTTCACCAGTGTTTGAAGTTTGAACACCTGCATTTTTATGACTTGGTGTAGGCCTCAATACCGTGCGTTTGTCAACTTGCATTTCGGCCAAGGAATGGACCCAGCCCCTCACCGACGCTTACAAGGAAGCCTTTACTGTGCCAGGTGGCACTGCCTTCTGGCGAGGGAAGCTGAACTTCCGGACTACCAAATCCAAGTGACCAGATTGCAGTGAGTTGTGGATGGCCTGTGCTGATGGAGGTGCAGGTTCTTCGTGTGGAATTAGGGTCCGAGTGGAGGTTCTTCCGGTAGTGTTGCGCAGTTAGTTTCAGGACTTAGGCTTTTGCCGTGCATCCAATTCCACCTACGCTCATTGCATTCCTCAAGCCTGGGGTTGACTAGCGAGTGAGCTTTTAAACTTTGCGCGCACCGCCGTCGCAACAGCGCAACTGTTGCGACAGTCTCCACAGCCCAAATCAAACATGTAGCAATGCCCTACCTGAAAGCCAGCCAAAGCCACCAACCCTACCTCAAGAAACTAAGTTGACGGTTTGTTCAAATTCCTGTCAAGGAAGCAGAAGGTCTTTGTGGAGGGTGGCATCATTGCTTCTTGGCTTCCTTGTCAAAGGCCTGATACTTTCGTTGAATAGATTCTTATATAGATGTTTGCACGTGAACACGTCAAACTAGATGTCCCAAAAACAGATGTTCAAGAGAAACACAAATGGCATTCGGGACAGCCTGCATAGATGTCACCACCTTTTTCACCAGCATCACGAACTTGACAGAAAACCGTTTGGATGAATGCAGTCAACGCTAAGGAGCTCAAATACACCACGATTACGTGTTAATCGTACGAAGCGGCCTGCAAAGTGCATTCCCAAACTGAGTGACAGTGGCACAATTGTGCCGAGTTTTTCAACGTGCTTGACCCGGTGGCCTTGGCTCACCGAATGGTTGCATCTGCCACGTGCGCCTGCTACGTGAGATGTACGCTGGTTTTCCCACACTGTACTGCATCACAAAACCACTTCACTGGTCCACTGTCACCGTAACTTTTGACATGTTGCATTTCAGGCCAGTGAGGGTCATTTTGCAATCCACCCTATTCCAAGTCGCCAAGTAGTGGCATGGAACCTGTTTCTTCAGCTGAATTTCAGCTGAAGGATCGCTGAAGCAAACAACTTGGGAATCGTTATGAACAAATGCAACGATGTACGCGAACCACCGCCACTTGCCAACGATCCCATTCGATCCCGCCCCTTCGGTCGCCGAAACCTCCGAAGCAAGGTTTCAGAGCGAGAGGAAGGCACGAAGTTGGTGCGTGAAGGCATTTTCTCTGCACAAACCGCCAGTGCCAATATGATTGAGGAGCCTTCAACATGGTGAATTGGCAAAGGACCTGATTTAGCATATTACAGTCACATGTCTTCCAGGCTTTGCCACTGGGAGCCATTTTTTGTTGGCATAGGTATCAAAAAATATTTATCGAATCAAAAAAGCAATATTTACCGAATCAAAAAACACATATTTACTGAATCAATAAAAAATATTCGTTGTGCGATGAAATCCCTTGCAATTCTCAGTCGTGTAGGTGGCCGGTCCTCTGGTCCGCTGGTCCTCTGGTCTGCTGGTCCCCTGGTCCTCTGGTCCGCTGGTCCTCCTGGTCCGCTGGTCCACTGGTCCGCTAGTCCCTTGGTCCTCTGGTCCTTCGTGGATTCGACGAAATCTGCACTTCATCCCCGGCACCCGCGCCTGCCACGAAATCAATATTTTAAGGTGAACTCCCCGGTGCAAAACTTTCTAACCAAGCAAATATGCCTCCTCTATCTCTCTCTCTCTCTCTATCTATCTATCTATCTATCTGTCTATCTATCTATCTATCTATGTATCTATCGATCCATCTATCTTTCTATCTGTCTATCTGCAGTTCAACATCCACAAAGTACTACACCTGCCACGAAATCTGCACTTCAAGGTCCACAAAGTCTTGCGCCTGCCACCAAATCTGCACTCCAAGGGCCACAAAGTCCTGCACCTGCCACCAACTCTACACTTCCACCTCAAAAAGTCCTGCGCCTGCCACGAAATCTGCACTCCAAGGCCCACAAAGTCCTGCACCGGCCACCAACTCTACACTTCCACATCCACATCAAAAACTCCTGCGCCTGCCACGAAATCTGCACTCCAAGGCCACGAAACACGACTACCACTACGATACTGCTGCTATTATAGTACTGTTGCTGCTCTTACGGCTACTGCTATTTGGAATATATTTTTTTGAGTCAGTAAATATTTTTTATTGGTGCGTGTAAAATATTTTTTATTGATACGTTAGATATTTTTTTGTTTATCTCTCACCCTTTTTTGTTGCACCTTTGTCTTCGGTTTCTCGGATTGTGCCAGGAGACCCAACGCAAGGCCCGCGAGGCCTTTGCACGAGCCGTCACCACACCGAAGGCTGAGACCAGCGGCTTCAAGACTCCTGCGAGGTGCCCGTCGTTTGTTCAGTGAAGGGCCTTTCCGAGCTGTACTCTTTTAAAACTGGTAGTAACAAGAAGCTAGTAGTAACAGGTGCCTTACTAGTAGTAACAAGAAGCTAGTAATTACAATGCAATCAAACCGTGTCAAAAGGGAAGCAAGAGTCAGTGCAGACCTGAAACCCTAAGGCAAACAAAGCGCCAAACCCTTCTAGTTGGACTAAATTACCCTTCCAAGTGAAAACACAGACAGCTTGGTCACCACGCCACTCCAAGCGGCTGCGGGTGAAGCTGTTGCACTGAGGTTGACAACATGTGATGCATCATTTCATACTAACCCGAAAGACTGCATACCTAGCAGACCATTTAGTACAATGAAACTAGCGAAGAACCTCATCAGCACGTTTAGGGATCCAGTGACGGATGTCTCAAAGTCGTTCCTGGGTTCTATGCTGAAGAATTGCTTTCTTCCACCCAGTGTCATTCACCCCATATATTATCATATATATCACATAGTATTAGAGAAACCCTCAGCATCAATCCTGAAAACATCTGAAAACAAAGCTACTAGTACCACTGACACCAAATGGATTTTGACCTATTTTGACCCGCGCTCGACCAGGATCGCTGGCGCGGGTGGCACGCGCGTGAAGAAGGCCCTGCCTGGCACCTCCATCGGTGGGAAGTTGGACAAGGCACGGGATCCAAACAGCTGAGGACAAGGCCCTGCCTGTCCAAGGTCCCAATGACTGATAGGAAGCAGTTTACAGCTTACTAGATATGGAGATCTAGTCTGTAGATCAGCGGCGACTATGTGGACTATCCCACGAAATCGGCGTGATTGCTTTTCAAAGAGTCCTCAGTCCTCAGCTGTAGTTTGGACAACCTGAAATAAATGTCTTGTGTTGGTTTCGCATTCGACATCAGGCACCACACGTGGGATGTAGGACTCTTCATGTTGATTTGATGGGCAAGGCGGTGTGGAGCAGTGTGGAAAAGCCATATTGTTTGTCGCTTAGAGCCTGCAGGGCGACCTGGACTTGCTGGAGGATGGCCAGGGGAAGACGTGAATGGGCAATGGTCAAAATGCAACCTTTTTCCTGATTACCCACTGATCGCTATTGATTGTCAAAGGAATAAACCAAACTTACGAGTCATGGAAACCATAGAGCAACCATAAACTCTTTAAGGAACACATGCAGCCATTGGAAAGGCGTTCTGCACACGTTGGCGTTCCATTCCGGTCCATTACCCAACGGTGCGGCCTTCCAACGCTCACTAAGTGCAACCCCTTTGGCAACGCATGGGGCCCTTCCATTCCCCCAGTGCCACACAAGAGTGATCCTTTTTGCCCGACACTCTTGTGGACACTCGGACGCCCTTATTGACACTCCAAAATTCACGAGGTCTCCAAAGCGAGCGTGTTCGCCAATGGGGCAGCGTCACAATGCACAGCACTTGCCACAAGAATAGACTGGAACATCTCCAACATGCACAAAGCACTGCGCCCGCCACGCAAAGCAACACTTCCACACCTCCGTGTCGGTAGCAAAGCTTGAGCCACACCATACGTCGGGGATGATTTCTGACAACAACTAATTACCTCACAAACAAAGTCGCACTTCTAGCTCTGAGAGACCTGTCACGAAGACACACCTTTGCCATACCTTCGCCTTCGAGGCACAGCCTTCAAGTCCCACTGAGACATTCAAAACCTCCACAAAGACTAGCGACCGGTCATGGAGATCGGCGAAGCGACGCCGAGCAAACGGCTGACGAGACACATTGTCCACGTTCGTCACCTGCGTGTCTGACACACCATCCATCCATCCATCCATCCATCCATCCATCCATCCATCCATCCA